AACAGTTGTATGAAAATATTTGAAAATAATTGAATTCCTGTGAAAAATTGTAATATTTTTGTAAATAATTGATAAAAAATAATAACGTTTTTTGAACAATTCCTGCAAAATTGTATTAAAAATAATTAAAATCCAGCGATAAATTTTATTAATTTATGAAAATAATTGAATAGTTGCTAACAATTTTATTAAAATTTTCAAAAATAATTGAATTTCTAAGAAGAATTTTTATTATTTATGAAAATAATTGAATTATTGCCAAAAATTTTATTAAAATGTTTAAAAAAAATTTAATTTCTTTTAAAAATTTTATTATTTTTAAAAATAATTGAATTCTTCATAAGAATTTTATAAACATTGTTTCTAATAATTAATTTTTTCGAAATATAATAAATATTATGAAAATTTTATTTTAAATAATTAAATTTCTGTGAAAGTGTTTATTTTTAAAAAGAATTGAATTCTTGGGAAGAATTTTATTAAAATTTCTTAAATAATTGAATTACTTCGAAGAATTCTATTTTTTACGAAAATAATTAAATTGTTTCGAAGATTTTTACAAACAATCTTGACAATAATAATTGTATTCCAAGGAAGAATTTTATATTTTAAGAAAATAATTGTATTGTATGATCAATTTTATTATAATTTTTGAAATTTATAAAGCATTTTATCAAAATTTTTAAAAATAATTGAATTTTTGAGATAAATTTTATTATTTATGAAAATAATTGAATTCGCATAAAAAAATGTATTATTTGTGAAAATAATTTAATTTTTAAGAAGAATTGTATTGGAAATTTTATTAACTAAATCTTGTAAACAATTTTGTCAAAATTTGTTAAAATAATAGATTTTTTAAAATAATTTTATTTAAATTTTTCGAAATAACTGAATTTCTTAGAACTATTTTTTTCAATTCTCTGAATATATTTTAATTTTTTTGAGAAATTTCATTAAAAAATGAAAAATAATTGAATTGGTTCGAAGAAATTTATAAAAAATTGTTAAGTATGTAATTGAATTCCTGTGAAATTGTTATTAAAATTTTTTTTAAATAATTGAATTCTTTTGGAAAAAGTTACTAAAATAGTAGATATTAAAAGTAATTGAAATAATTTCTAAGTAATAATTTTATGATAAATAACCCTGATAAATAAAGTCCTGGATAATTTGAATTTCTTTCCATGTCCCTTGAGATTTAATTTATCGAAAGTCGACTTATAAATAATATTATTATATACTACATTCTTAATGTTTTATTTTTGAACGTAAAAATGCGAAAAAAATATTGAGAAAGTTTTAAAAAAACTAATAATTTGAAACACTGATAATTTCTTTAGAGATAGAAATTTTTATTTCCATTCGGATTATTACGTGCTTTAGGGAAAATTACAATATAAATCTTTTATAACTCTAAATGGAGAGTGACGCAAAAAATATCATTATTGATTTCTTCATCACTTTGATGTGATTTGCTTTGCCACATTAGGTGAGAGAGAAAGAATAGATCATCAACTTTTTGCTATTTAGCTACTGAATTTAGGAGCATTAACTTCTTTCTTCTTATATTACTATTTTTCTTTTTTCTTTTTTAATATTTTACAATACGGTAATAAAGAATATTTTTAGTAGAGACAGAAATTAGATGAAACTTTAACTCCAACTTATGCAATTTTAGTTCCTTGACTGGTAATTGGTATTTTGAAATAACAAGAGAGAAAATGAGGGGAAATATAACGAACCTTCTTCACACGTGCTTTTTCCTTTTTTAAAAAAGAAAAAAAAATTAGAAAGAAAGAAAGACAAGAGAGGAACGTGCGTAAGACCGTGAAGCGGGAAAATTCGTTCATCGTGCCTATAAAGTGTGACAAATACATTTCCGATACACCCGACAACCAACAAGGAAACAATTTAAAAGTCTTTATTTTATGGTCTCTTGTTCTTTTAAAATACCTGCTTTTTTGTTAATTACTTTCGCGGGACAAATGAGAAATTTTGCAATGACAAAAAACAAACTTTTAACAAAATTCAAAATTAAAAAATATAACTATTTTCATTTTCTAAGGAGAGTTCTTTTTCTGTTTTCAAATAAAACTTTGTTTTTATTTCTTGAAACCTATTTAGGTTTCAGATTTCGCACTCGATAATCTTGCGAACGATTTTATTAGAATTTTTTTAAATAATTGAATTTCCAAGAAGAATTTTATTACTTTTAAAAATAATTAAATTCATGTGATGAATATTGTTATTTATGAAAATAATTAAATTTTGCAAAGAATTTTATTAAAATGCCTGAAAATAATTGAATTTTCGGGAATAATTTTTAACTTTAATAATTGAATTCTTTCGAAGAATTATTTATATAAATAATTGAATTCTTAGGGAAGAATTTTATTAAAATCTAAAAGAATAATTAAATTATTTCAAGAAAATTAAAATGAAAATTGTATTTAAAATAATTGATTTCTTTTGAACAATTTTATAAAAAATATTCGAAAATAATTGAATTTCTGAGAAAAATTCTAATATTTTTGTAAATATTCTTGAAAATAATTAAATTCTTACTTAGAATTTAATAATTATGATAATAATAATTCAATTCTCATAAATAATTTTATTAAAATTTTTCAAAGTTAATTGAATTTTTGCGAAGAATTTTATTAAAATTCTGTCAAATAATTCAAATCCTGCAAAAAATGTTATAATTTATGAAAACTTGCTAAGAATTTATTTAAATCTTCAAAAATAATTGAATTTGTTTGAGGAATTGAATTTAAATTTTATTGAACATCTTTCAATTCTCATAAAGAATATAATAAAAAATTTTCAAAATAATTAAATTCTTTTCAGAAATTTTATTGAAATTGTATTGAAAATAATTGAAGTCCTGCGAAGAATTTTATGAAAATTCATTAAAATAATTGATTTTCTAAAAAGAATTTTATTATTTATGAAAATAATTAAATTTCTAAAAAGAATTTAATTATTTATGAAGATAATTCAATTCTTGACTAGAATTTTATTAAAATTTTCGAAAATAATTGAATTATTTCAAAGAAATTTAATTAAAATTTTATTTAAAATAATTGATTTCTTTCGAACAGTTTTATGAAAATATTTGAAAATAATTGAATTCCAGTGAAAGATTCTAATATTTTTGTAAATAATTGATTAAAAATAATTACATTTTTTTAGTAATTCCTGGAAAATTTTATTAAAAATAATTGAAATCCTGCGATGAATTTTATTATTTATGAAAATAATTGAATAGTTGGAAAGAATTTTATTAAAAACTTCGAAAATAATTGAATTTATGAGAAGAAGTTTTATTATTTTTGAAAATAATTGAATTATTGACAAAAATTTTATTAAAATGTTCAAAAAGAATTTAATTTCTGTGCAAATTTTTATTATTTTTAAAAATAATTGAATTCTTCGTAAGAATTTTATAAACATTGTTTCTAATAATTAATTTTTTCGAAATATAATAAATATTATGAAAATTTTATTTTAAATAATTAAATTTCTGTGAAAGTGTTTATTTTTGAAAAGAATTGAATTCTTGGGAAGAATTTTATTAAAATTTCTTAAATAATTGAATTGCTTCGAAGAATTTTATTTTTTACGAAAATAATTGAATTGCTTAGTAGATTTTTACGAACAATTTTTATTTTATTATTGAATAATTGAATTCTTGTAGAAAACTTTATTTATGAAAATAATTGAATTTTTCGATGAATTAATTGAAAATAGTATTAAAAATAATTGAAATTATTCGATGAGTTTTATTATTTATGAAATTAATTGATTTCTTTCTTATAAGTTTATCAAAAAATTTTGTTAAATAATTGAATTTCCATGAAAAATGTTATTATTAGTGAAAGTAATTGAATTATTGGGAAGAATTGCATTTAATTGTGTCAAATAATTGATTTTTCGTTATTTTTTTAGAAAATGCTATTTTAAATTAATTGAATTCCTGTGGAAATTTTATTATTTATGAAAATAATTGAATTTTAGATGAATTTTATCAATTATTTTTTAAATAATTGAATTCTTCTGCAAAATTTGATGAAAATAGTAGATATTGAAAATAATTGAATTGTTTTAAAAAATTTGATTATAATTTTTGAGAATAGTTTTTTTATTTCTAGTATCAGCGAATTTAAAGTTGTAGCCTGAGGTTTCAAATTCAAAATAGTGTTCTTTGTTGACGAGGATATTCTATTATTTTTTAATTTTGATTTTCCGGAGACGGACAATTAAGTAAATGACGAAATACTTCTTGAATGTCAATCATCTCTTAATTGTTTTGTAGAAAATCTTCTACTTCTACTTTCAAAGTCTTCTTACTTCAAAAGAGATTTTCTGCCAAAACATCTCGAATTTCTTTTTTCTGGGTGTCGGTAGAATTATTCCTTTTTTCTAATCCCGATAAAAAAAATTTGACATAGGAGATAAAGATTGAATTGTAAAAAAGGAAATTAAATAGTATGAGTGAATAAGACTATTGTGAATATCAATTTTCTGATAATGCGAGAATTACATGATATTATAATAATAAGTTTAGGTTTCGACTTCCTTCCTGTCTATTACAAGTTCCATCTAAATACTTCGTAGGTAGAAAAACAACTATAAATTCGATGTCTCAGATAAAGAACAATGCTTTTAAATGATGACGAATAATTTTCATTTTTAGAAACAAAGAAATGTTTTTATAATAATGGAACTTTGATTGATTTAATGGGATCTTAATTATAATCGTAACGATTATCAGAGAAAAATCTCATTGAATGGATTCTCATTCTTTATTTACAGTGAGACAATTATTTATCGTCTTTTATTTTGAGTTTCCCTATTTGCACCAGTACAGCAAAGAAAGTTTTCAATAGGAAAAATAGAAGAAACAAATAATTCAGAATTTTTAGAAATAGCAAAAAATACTCGGAATGAAAGTAATAATAAAATAAATTAGCAAGTGAAATTTTTGCAAGTACCGTGTGCGTGATGATCGTGAGCTGCTTTCGGCGAATAAAGCCTTTTATGGAGACAGCGTCGATGAAAGTCTGGATCAAGTCCACCAATTGTCTGGCAATGCCGCGGCGATAATCAAGAGCAACAAACACTTGGCGTGACTCACAAGAAAAACCACTTGATCTTGAGTTAACGGATCCTAAACCGTTTCGACAGTTACATCCCAATGGACCGTGTGGTCTGACAGAATAGAACTTTTTTTGTTGTTGTTGTTGTTGTCACGGCAAAACAAAAGTTTTGAGATAAAAGAAATAATAAAAAAAGAAATACAAATTTAAAAAAAAGGAACCGAAGGGAAAATTAATGAACGGAAATGTATTTTGTTTTCGATTGAAAAGTTGTGTCCTCCTTTTTCCTTTTCTTTGGGAGATCAAATCGAGAGCGAACTTAACACTATCAGCTTCACGCAGCGAATGCACGTCGTCTCTCGATCCGGTTCTACCTTCGGTTCTCTACCCATTCGAGGATCTTGTGGAGTGGACACTTTGTGGATCAGCGCTGTGTCCGGTAGCATAAGTCTCCAAACAAAGACTTATGATAATCACTTCGGAAATAGGACTTTTCTTTCCTTTTTGTCTTCATTATTTTTCCAACTAGCCATTTGTTTGGAAATTAATCATTTCGATCCTTTAGTTTTGCTTTTCGACTATTCTTCTCTTTTTTCAACCATTTTAATCTTCACTTTTCAAAATATTCAAAAGTCTATATCCTCTTCATTTTCAATTCAATTTTCTTCCACTTGCATAAATTCGAATCTGGAAACCTGGAAAAGTCCGGGAATTTTTCGATCGGAATCCTGAAATATAGTTGTTTTCTAAAGTTATTATTATTATTGTTTGTAGAAATCTTCGAAACAATTCAATTATTTTCGTAAAAAATAAAATTCTTCGAAGCAATTCAATTATTTAAGAAATAAAAAAATTCTTCCCAAGAATTCAATTTTTTTCAAAAATAAACATTTTCACAGGAATTCAATTAATTTAAAAAAAAATTTAATAAAATTCTTCGTCAGATTTCAATTATTTTCAAATTTTTTGGAGAATTTTAATTTATTTTGAAAAAGTTATAAACAATTCTGAGAAATTCAATTATTATTTTAAAAAATTTGAATAAAATTCTTCGCAAGAAATCAATTATTTTCAAAAATAAAAAATTTTTCTCAAGAATTCAATTATTTAAAAAAATTTTGACAAAATGCTTTATAAATTTCAAAAATTATAATAAAATTGATCATAGAATACAATTATTTTCTTAAAATACAACATTCTTCCTTGAAATACAAAATTATTGTCAAAATTGTTTGTAAAAATCTTCGAAACAATTCAATTTTTTTTGTAAAAAATAAAATTCTTCGAAGCAATTCAATTATTTAAGAAATTTTGATAAGATTCTTCCCAAGAATTCAATTTCACTAAAATAATTAGATTTTTTGAGAAAAGTTACAAATGATAGCAGAAGAAATTTTGATAAAATTCTTCGCAGGACTTCAATTATTTGCAATACAATTTCAATAAAATTTCTGAGAAGAATTTAATTATTTTGAAAAGTTTTAATGAAATTCTTTATGAGAATTGAAAGTTGTTCAATAATATTTAAATTGAATTCCTGGAACAAATTCAATTATTTTTGAAGATTTAAATAAATTCTTATCAAGTTTTCAAAAATTATAAAATTTTCTGCAGGATTTGAATTATTTAAAAGAATAATTTTAATAAAATTTTTCGCAGTAATTCAATTAACTTTGAAAAATTTTAATAAAATTATTTACGAGAATTGAATTTCCAAATATTTTAATAAAACTGTTCAAAAGAAATCAATTATTTTAAATACAATTTTAATTAAATTTCTTTGAAATAATTCAATTATTTTCAAAAATTTTAATAAAATTCTAGTCAAGAATTGAATTATCTTCGTAAATAATTAAATTCTTTTTAGAAATTTAATTCTTTTCATAAAAAATAAAATTCTTTTTAGGAAATCAATTATTTTAATGAATTTTGATAAAATTCTTCGCGGGACTTCAATTATTTGCAATACAGTTTCAATAAAATTTCTGAAAAGAATTTTATTATTTTGAAAAATTTTTATTAAATTCTTTTTAAGAATTAAAAGATGTTCAATAAAATTGAAATTAGATTTCTCGAACAAATTCAATTATTTTTGAAGATTTAAATAAATTCTTAGTATGTTCTCAAAAATTATAAAATTTTTTGTAGGATTTTAATTATTTTAAAGAATTTTAATATAATTATCCGCAGGACTTCAATTATTTCCAAATATTTTAATAAAATTGTTCGAAAAAAATAAATTATTTTAAATTAAATTTTTATGAAATTTTTTTGAAATCATTCAATTATTCTTCTAGATTTTAAAAAAATTCTTCCCAAGAATTATTTTAAAGAATTTGAATAAAATTCTTTGCAAAATTCAATTATTTTAAAAATAATAGTATTCATCAGATGAATTCAATTATTTTTAAAAATAATAAATTTTTTCTTGGAAATTTAATTATTTTAAAAAATTTCAATATAATCGTTCACAAGAATTTAATTATTTTCATAAATAATAAAATGCTTTTTAGGAATTCAATTATTTTCAAAAAAAATTTATTAATAAAATACCACATTTATTTAAATATGACTTTCAGTTAAAATTTTAAATAATAATTGATATAAATTTCTCTAAAAATGCAATTCTTTATAATTTTATTAAAATTCTTCTAAAGAATTAAATTTATTTATTTTCGAAAATTTTTATAAAATTCTAGTCAAGAATTCAATTAACTTCATAAATAATTAAATTTTTCTTCGAAATTTAATTATTTTCATAAATAATAAAATTCTTTTCAGAAAATCAATTATTTTCATAAATAAAATTCATCGCAGAATTTCAATTACTTTTTAATACAATTTCAATCAAATTGCTTTGAAAAATGTAATTATTCCTAAAAATTTTATATCATTTCGTCAAAAGAATTTAATTATTTAATTTGTTGATAAAATTCTTCATTGGAATTGAATTTTAAGAAACTAAATTTTTCAAAAAATTATTTATTTTTATATTTAAATAATTGAATTTTTGTCGAATTTTCAAATTAAAATTTTTGAAAATCTGAATTTTTCATACTCTTAACTATAACAATAAGAATTAATTTTTTTTGGGAGAATTTAATTGCGTATTTTTTTGTTGAAATTATTTGAAGTTTTTATTTTCTAATTTATATTTAATTAGAGAATTTCCGAATAATACTTATAATGTAAAATAATGATTTTTTTCGGTCATTTTTAATTATTATAAAACAGGAAGAAAGAATTTACTCTGAGTCTTCGACTCGGAGTGAACCCTTTCTTCCTGTTTTATAATATTATAATATTTTTTTAAGTTATTGAATTTCAAAAGGTTTTGAATGTGAAATTTTTGAAATTTGAAATAAGAAAAATAATAAATTTATATGTTTTCGATTAATTTTACATTACGAAAATTGACTTTCTGCGCCGGGGTCCCATTTTGAGACCGTTAAGTAGATGAAACTTTAATGCGCGATTAATTAAAGTCTTTCGTGAATAGCGAAATTAATTAAAACTTTCACTGGGAAAGTTTTACGAACTTATAGTTGGTTTAATTAAAGTCATACTTTCTTGGACACGTGTGATAATCAACAAGATACTTTTATGTATTAAAGATGAATGCTTTTATTTTTATTTTTTATAATTTCTTTTGTATACACGGAAAAATTACACTGTTATTAGTGGATCTTTATCTTTCTGTGAAACTTGCACTTTTACTGAATTACCAACTAATTCAGTGAATATTTTCGAAAATTCCTTAAGATAACCACGTTCCGAATCGGAATGATTTGTGAGAATTACATTTCCACCCTTGTGTGTTAAATCTAAAATGTCGTGATGAAACATTTCGCCAGTGAGATATAAATCGGCTTGTGGCGATGATTTGAAAACTGATGTTCCTGAACCTGCACAAAGTGCTACGGTTCTTATCGAGTCGGCTAAAAATTGAAACAAAAAATTGTAGAACAAGGAAATTTTTTTTTGGGGTTGAATTTTAATTCTTACCTGAACCACATTTACGAGCCAATCGCACGTGCGAGAGTTCAGTTCGTTCTTTGACAATTTTGACTGCATCTTCAATCGAAATTGGTTTCTTTAATGTACAAAATCGTCCGAAACCAGTTCTTGGATCTGATAGTCCAGGTTCAATGGGGCCACTCGACTCTGGATCTGTAAAATTAAATCACAATTTTAATTTATCTTTTTGGGAATTTTAAAAGTCGGATAAAAATTGAAACCTACCGAAAGCAGCTGCTAGCCAATCGTTGACACCCCCGTTTATAGAATCAAAACTTGTGTGAGGCGAGTAAAGAGCGATTTTGTTTTCTAGACATTTGGCTGCAATTCGCTCCTGGAATTTATTATTATTTGTTAACGGTTGAAATAAAAAAAATAATTTTAATAAAATTCTTTAAAACGATTCAACTATTTGCACAAATTTTTCCTAATTCAATGATTTTTAATATCTAATATTTTAATAAAAAAATTTCCCAAAAGAATTGAATAATTAGATTTTTTCGGAATTCACCTTCCAAGTTCTGGTTGTTATAGATTTTAGAGGACTAAAAATAGGAGGATGGTAGGATAGAATGAAATCGGTCTGGACGTCGACAGCTTCTTGCATAACATCCTCGGTTAAATCGTTGGTTAGTAAAATATGTGAAATATCTTTTGGTTCAGTAGGTTCGATAAGTAATCCAACGTTATCCCACGAAGCCGCTAGTTTCAAATTAGCAAAACTATTCAACTTCTCGACGACAGTTTTTAACGGTAGTCCCATTGTGTGTGAATAACGAATTGAGTGCAAAATGGTTTGATTTAGTCCCGACTGGACAGATCTGCCAAACATTAATTATTCTAAAACAGAAAAAAACGAGGGAGAAAATTATTCATTCCGTTACAGTTATTTTTTCTATAGTAACAATTTTTTATTTTCTTTTTCTTTTTCTTTTTTCATTTTTATACTTCGCAAAAATTCAATTATTTTCAAAAATTTTTAGAAAAATTCTCGTCAAAATTTCAATTGTCTTTAAAAATAAAAAAATTCTTATCGAAAAATTAAATTATTTTCAAGAATTTTAATAAAATTTCAATTATTTTCATAAAAACCAATATAATAAAAATTCTATTGGAATTCAATTATTTACAAATATTTTTATAAATTTCTTCGAACCAATTCAATTATTTTTCATTTTTTAATGAAATTTCTCGAAAAAATTCAAATAAATTCAGAGAATTGAATAAAAAATAGTTCTAAGAAATTCAGTTATTTCGAAAAATTTTAATAAAATTCTTTTAAAAATTCTATTATTTCAAAAAATTTTGACAAAATTCTTTACAAGATTTAGTTAATAAAATTTTCAATACAATTCTTCTTAAAAATTAAATTATTTTCACAAATAATACATTTCTTTAGGCGAATTCAATTATTTAAAAAAAATTGAATAAAATTCTTCGCAAGAAATGAATTATTTTCATAAATAATAAAATTTTTCTCGAGAATTCAATTATTTAGAAAAATTTTGATAAAATGCTTAACAAATTTCAATAATTGTAATAAAATTAATAATAGAATACAATTATTTTCTTAAAATGTAACATTCTTCCTTGAAATACAATTATTGTCAAAATTGTTTGTAAAAATCTTGGAAACAATTCAATTATTTTCGTAAAAAAATAAAATTCTTTGAAGCAATTCAATTATTTAAGAAATTTTAAAAAAATTATTCTTAAGAATTCAATTCTTTTCAAAAATAAACATTTTCACAGAAATTCAATTATATAAAAAAAAATTTAATAAAATTCTTCGTCAGATTTCAATTATTTTCAATTTTTTAATGAAATTTCTCGATGAAATTGAATTTTTTTTTGAAAAAGTTTTTAAAAAATCTAAGAAATTCAATTATTATTTAAAAAAAATTTGAATAAAATTCTTCACAAGAAATTAATTATTTTCATAAATAATAATATTTTTCTCCGGAATTCAATTATTTTAAAAAAGTTTTGATAAAATCCTTTATAAATTTCAAAAATTGTAATAAAATTGATTATAGAATATAATTATTTTTTTAAAATATAAAATTCTTTCTTGCAATACAATAATTGTCAAAATTGTTAGTAAAAATCTTCGAAACAATTCAATTATTTTCGTAAAAATTAAAATTCTTCGAAGCAATTCAATTATTTAAGAAATTTTAATGAAATCCTTCCCAAGAATTCAATTCTTTTCAAAAATAAATATTTTTATAGGAATTCAATTATTTAAAGAACAAAAATTAATATAATTCTTCGTCAGATTTCAATTATTTTCAATTTTTCAATGAATTTTCTCGATGAGATTTAATTTTTTTTGAAAAAGTTTTTAAAAATTCTGAGAAATTCAATTATTATTTTTTAAAAATTTAAATAAAATTCTTCGCAAGAAATCAATTATTTTTAGTACAATTTTAAGAAACATTAAATTATATTCAATAAATTATTTATTTTTATTTTCAAATAATTGAATTCTCGTTGAATTTTTTTAATAAAAATTTTTTTTAAAATGACTTTCAGTTAAAATTTTAAATAATAATTAATATAAATTTCTCAAAAATTTCAATTCTTCTAAAGAATTCAATTTATTTTGGAAAATTTTTTATAAAATTCTAGTCAAGAATTGAATTACCTTCATAAATAATTAAATTCTTTTGAGATATTTAATTATTTTCATAAATATAATAAAATTCTTTTTAGAAAATCAATTATTTTAAATGAATTTTCATAAAATTCTTCGCAGGACTTCAATTATTTTCGATACAATTTTAATAAAATTTCTGAAAATAATTTAATTATTTTGAAGAATTTTGATTAAATTCTTTATGAGAATTGAAAGATATTTAATAAAATTTAAATTGAATTCCTCGAATAAATTAAATTATTTTTGAAGATTTAAATAAATTCTTAGCAAGTTTTCAAAAATTATAAATTTTTTTGCAGGATTTTAATTATTTCTTTAAAGAATTTGAAAAAATTTCTTCGCAGAAATTCAATTAACTTTGAAAAATTTTAATAAAATTATTTATAAGAATTGAATTATCATCATAATTAATAAAATTCTAAGTAAGAATTTAATTATTTTAAAGAATATTTATAAAAATATTAGAATTTTTCACTGGAATTCAATTATTTTCAAATATTTTAATAAAATTGTACAAAAGAAATCGATTATTTAAAATACAACTTTAATGAAATTTTTTTTTCGCAAAAAATTAATTATTTTCATAAATAATAATATTTTTCTTTGGAATTCAATTATTTTCACAAATAAAATTCTTCACAGGAATTCAATGCTTTAAAAAATTTGTTAATAAAATTCGTTGCAAGAATTCAATTATTATTTTCATAAATAAAAAAAGTTTATGGCAGAATTTGAATTATTTTTTATACAATTTTAAATAAAATGATAGAAAATTGCATTTATTCTTAAAAATTTTTTTTTAAATTCTCCGAAAGAATTCAATTATTTTTAAAAATTTTGATAAAATTTCAGGGAAAAGTGAGGGAAAAACAAAATTAAATTTTTGTTGCAACCCTGTGAAGTCAACGATACTATTACCATTTTATTACAACTATGAAAGATGTGGGAAGAATCATTAACAAAAGATTGAATGTTTCGAAAATATAAGACAATATATTTTTTTCTCTATTTAATACATAAAAAAGTAACTAAAATCAATCGCTGTAAAACCAGAGTTTAACTTGGCCATCATCGCTCGCTGACGCTAAATAACCAACTTCTGTTGGACTCCACTGAACTGAATTCACATCCTGTGAATGTGCGTTTTCCGTACTATAAACTAAATTAAATGTCGGTTGATTTGGATCCGAATCGTCGTCCTCCTTAAATATTCTTATAATATCATCACCGCATGCCGTTGCTATTAATCCAGTATTTTTGCACCAATCAATGTCGTAAATTGTCCTGGTATGAAAACCCGACAATGTACAAACACACTTCCAAACTGGTTCATTGTCCGGTGTTTGAATGCCCGCATTATTTTCCGGTTTATATTCCTGCCAAATTTTCACTGTCTTATCATCGCTGCAACTTGCTATTCGATCGCCTGTCTTGTTAAATGTTAGACTCCACACTGTTGATGTGTGCGACGATAGTGTCGCTACGCAAATCCAATCGGAATCTGCAGTGTCCTCTTTGAAAATTTTTATTGTATTGTCGTAACTCGCCGAAGCTAAAATGTCACTCGTCGGATGCCATCTGACCTGGAAAATTAAAATTGCTATTAAAAAACCATTAAAAAAACAAAACTACAATTGTATTAAAATTATAACCAATCGAGAGTGTAATGGCAAAAAAATGATTTTTCTACTTCAGTTAAAAGAATAAAACGATTCAAATTCTGTAAATACAAGATTTCTTTCTTAGAAACGATTCAATTATTTTCAAAAATATTTTCGCAAGAAAATTTAAGAATTTAATTATTAATGTTGTTTTAATTGTTACAGGTGTAAAATTGGAAACAAGAAGCAGCAGGACCTCAAACTGTCAATTGTCATGTCGAAATTTAAATTAAAAGTGGGGTGAGTTTATTTTTCGGATATTCAGGGCTCGAACCAGTGAAAGTATTTAAAAATAGTAAATACAGACTTTACGGACCAAAAATAAAATATTCAAAATTATTTTCATAATTTCAATTCAATTATTATTTTCAAGAATTTTTAACTAAAATTCTTCAATAAATCAATTATTTTTAATAATTTTCGAAAAAAGTTCTTTGACTATTTTTAAATCCTTTTGTTTGCAATATTCGATTTTACGAAATTTTATCGATTATTTGGAAATTCTTCAATTGTTGGTGTATTAAAAAATAAACATTTGAAATAATTTCAAAAAAAATTCAATTAAACTTTTTCAAAAAAAAATTAATTTCAAAATTCAATTACTTCTAAAAATTCACGCCATCATGCATTTAATATTCAATTATTATCTAAAATTGAAACTGAAATTCATTATTAAATCAATTTTTATTAGAAAATTCTACTAAAATTTGATTATTTAAATACATAAATAAATAATTTACTGAATAATTGAATGTTTCTTAAAATTAAATTCTCATAAAGAATTTTATTAACAAATTTTTAAATAATTGAATTTTTTTGATGAATTTTAATCAAATTTTTAAGAAAAATAACATTTTTTAGAGAATTTGTTTGAAACTTTATTAAAAATAATTGAAAAGCTATTAAAGAATTTTATTATTCATGAAAATAATTAAATTTTTTAGAAACATTTTATTAAAATTGTATTGAAAAAATTGAATTTCTGCCAAGAATTTTATTATTTATAAAAATAATTGAATTTTTCGAAAAATTTACTTAAAATCTTTGAAAATAATTGAATTCTTATAAAAAATTATATCAACAAATTTTTTAAAAATTGAATTTTTTAAGACGAATTATATTAAAATTTTTAAGAATAATTACATTTTTCGAGAAATTTGATTAAAATTGTATTAAAAATAATTGAAATCCTGCGATAAGTTTTAATATTTATAAAAATAATTGAATTCTTATAAAGAATTTTATTAAAATTTTAAAAAATAATTAAATTCTTGAGAAAAATTTGATTATTTGTGAATATAATTGAATCCCAAAGAAGAATTTTATTATTTTTGAAAAATATTTAATTTTTTTTCAAAAAGGAAATTTTGAAAATAATTGAATTTCTGCAATAATTTGTAACTTTTACAAAATTAAATTTTTTTAATTTTCTCTCGAAAAAATTAATTTCACAGAATTGTCGAATTTTTTGAATTATTAAAAGTATTCAATTATTTTCAATAATTTTAATAAAATTCTTGTTGAAATTTCAAATATTTTTATTACAATTTTAATCAAATTTCTCGAAAAGTTTATATAGAAAAATTTTAATGAAAATAATTGAATATTGCATTTAAAAATTTTATTACAATTTCAAAAAATAATTGATTTATTTAGAAGAATTTTATTATTTTTGAATATTATTGAATTCAAGCTAAGAATTTTGTTAAAATCTTTTTAAATAATTGAATTCTTATAAAGAATTTTATCAAAATCATAAATAATATAATTTTTTTTAGGAATTCAATTATTTTCATAAATAATTAGACTCATTGCAGAATTTCAATTATTTTTAATACAATTTTAATCGAATTCCTCGAAACATTTAGTAAAATTTTAATCCAAAGAATTCAATATTATATTTAAGAATTTTATTGACATTTCTAAAAGTAATTGAATTTTCTCGAAAATTTTTATTATTTTTAAATATAATTGAATTTTTGAGAAGAATTTTATCAACAAAATTTTAAATAATTGAATTCTTTTGACGAATTTTATTTAAATTTTTAAGAATAATTACATTTTTCGAGAAATTCGATTAAAATTCTTTAAAAAATAGTTGAACTTCTGCTATGAGTTTAATTATTTATGGAAATAATTGAATTCCTAAAAATAGAGTTATTATTTACGAAAATAATTGAATCCCTCTAAAAATATTATTATTTATGAAAATAATTGAATTAATGCGAAGAAATTTATAAAAATATTTGTAAATAATTGAATTCCTGTGAAATTTTTATTATTTTATGAAAATAATTAAATGTTTGCGTAGAATTTTATTAAATTTTTTTAAGTAATTGAATTCTTTTGGAAAATTTTGATAAAAACAGTAGATGTCGAAAATCATTGAATTGAGGAAAATTTTTAAAAATAATTAAAATTTTGCCAAGAATTTTATTAAAATTTTCGAAAATAATTCAATTTCAGAGTAGAATTTTATTATTTCTAAAGATACTTGAAATTTTTTTTAAGTTTTTGAATATAATTGAATTTTTGTGAAGAATTTTATTATTTTTGAAAATAATTGAATTTCTGCAATCATTTGTAATTTCTCTAAAATTCTTCAAATTATATCGTACAATTTACGAAATTTTCGTCCTTTTTCAATCAAATTACGGACTTTTTGAACCTTTTTTCAATAAAACTAAGTTTTACGGACTTAAGGCAAATTTACGGATCCAGTTCGAGCCCTGGAATCGTCTAAAACGAGATTTTTTTTAGTCGTCAATTTTCATTTTTCGGTAGCTACTTTTTTTAGTCTTAAAGTCACTTTTTTAAAATTAATTATCGAAAGAGAAGCCTGATATTATTAATGTTGTTTTAATTGTTACAGGTGTAAAATTGGAAACAAGAAGTAGGAGAACCTCAAACTGTTAATTGTCGAAATTTAATAAGAAGCGGGGTGAGTTTATAAAGTTGCCTATAAAATTATTTAGGGCTGGGCAAAGTTTTTCTCATGAAGCTTCAATGGAAAAATTGTCACCTTTTTTTTAAGGATGATTTTTTTAAGGTTCAAAGTTCTTTCACGAAAGTGAAGCATGAGATAGAAAAGGATACGAATAAGTCTCTGTCCTTTTCTGTCTCTTGCAGTTCTTGCTCCGCAAATAAAAGAAAACGATTTTGAATTATTACTCTAGTTAGAAACGTGTCTCGAATAATACAAAAAGAAATTAAAGTAAACCATCGATGGACTATCGATGGAGTTAAAAAGGAAAAAATTACCTTCTTAACATCTTGGGAATGTGCATTTATAACAGCGGCGCATTCGTACTCGTCGTCATTGACTTCCCAGACCCAAACGGATTTGTCACGACTGCATGATGCCAATAGTTGTCCACTCGCCGACCAACTGACACTCTTAACTTCATTTTCATGACCTTCTAAAGTCGCGGTACATTCAAATTGGCCTGATTTTTTATCCCAGATCGCAATGGTTGCGTCGAAACTCACTGAGGCTATGTAATTTCCGCAAGGGGACCATGCAATCTCCCTTATTGTTCTCGTATGGCCTTCGGTTAAAATTGTCTTTATGACCCACTGGCTGCCCTTCGGGGCCCAGATCCTGATTGTTTTATCTTCGCCACAAGACGCGACACAACTGCCAAGCGGATGCCAACAGACATTCCACACTCTCCCCCTGTGTCCGGTAAGGCTTTGTTTTAATTCCAAAGTGCCCATAACTACCTGAAACAGTTCAACCGGTAAGATAATGACACAAGGGGGGCAAGAGCGGGGGACTGTCTGCGTGCATCCTTTTCGCAGGCGAAAGTTTATTTTTTTGTTTTAACACTTTGGGGGAAATATTCCAAAAAAATTTGCTGTGAATGATTTTTTTCCAACTGCTCTGAAAGGAGTACTTTTTTAGATTGAAATAGAGGGGCGAAAGTTGTACTTTTCTCCCCCGCTCAGAGTATTCGGTCGTTATATTAAACCAGGGTGGCCACATGTCAGTAAAGTCAGAGGAAAATGTCAGGAAAACCAAATTTTTTGTCAGTAAAGAAAATAAAAATAAATAAAAAATAACAGGAAAAAATTTTTTTGGCAGGGAACTTAAGAAACTTAAAACTTTTTTCAACTTATTTTAAAAAATTGCGACTTTTTCGACTTTTCTTCCACAAATTACAACAAAATACCACAATTTTTCGTATGAACTGCAACTTATTTTGATTTTCATAGTGCGAAAAATAACAATAAGCAAATCTTTGAAAAATTATTTTTGAATAATTTTTTAAGATAATTAAATTTTTCAAAAATATATCTATAATAAGAATTTTTTTGAATAATTGAAATTTTGTTAAAATTTAATTGAAAATAATTGATTTTTTTCAAGTATTTGATTAAAATTTTCAAACATCAACTTTTGAAAAATTTTAATTTAATTAGCTTCTAATTTTTTAAAAATGAAATATTTTCAGTATTTTCAATTACATGGTATTAATTCCGAAAATTTAAAAATACATACAAAAAAATAATAACATTACAATTATTATTTAGAATTATTTTTGATATTTTGGAAAAAAATCAAGGTTCAAAAGTTTTAATTAAAATTTTAAAAAAAGTAATTAGTTTTTTAAATTATACAAAATTTTTTTTTTTAAGAAATTCAATGATTTTTAAAAGATTTAATCAAATTTCAATTATTTTGGAAATTTTTCAATTTTTTAAAATATTTTTCGAAAAAAATCAATAAAATTCTTCGCAAGAATTCAATTATTTTTATAAATAATAAAATTCTGAAGAATTCAGTTATTTTTTAAAATTTAAATAAAATTCTTTATAAAAATTCAATTATTTTAAGAATTTTATAAAAATTTAAAAAAATAATTTAATTCCTGAGAAGAATTTTATTATTTCTAAAAATAATTGAATTCCTACTGACAAAATTTATTAAAATTTTTGAAAATAATTGAATTCTTATAAAGAATTTTATATGAATCATAAATAATAAAATTCTTATTTTTAGCAATTCAATTATTTTCATAAATAATAAAACTCATCTCAGGATTTCAATTATTTTTAATTCAATTTTAAATTTATTTCGCTAAAAATGCAATTATTCTTAAAAATTTGAATAAATTTCTTCTCAAGAATTCAGTTATTTTTTAAAATTTAAATAAAATTCTTTATAAAAATTCAATTATTTTAAGAATTTTATAAAAATTAAAAAAATTAATTGAATTCTTGAGAAGAATATTTTATTATTTATAAAAATAATTGAATTCTTGCGAAGAATTTTCTAAAAAAATCTATTTAAATAATTAATTTTTTTCGAAAAATATTTTAAAAATTGAAAAATTTCCAAATAATTGAAATTTGGTAAAATATTTTTAAAATCATTGAATTTCTTAAAAAACTGTTCGTTTATTATTATAATTTTGATAAATAATAAAATTCTTCTCAAAAATTCAATTATTTTTTAAAATTTTAATAAAATTCTTTATAAGAATTCAATTATTTTTATAAATAATAAAATTCTTCTCAAAAATTCAATTATTTTTAAAAATTTTAATAATAATCGTTGTAAGAATTCAATTATTATTTTTATAAATATTAAAACTCATCGTAGGATTTCCTTTATTTTTAATAGAATTTTAAATGAATTCCCCGAAAAGTGAATTATAAATAATAAAATTCATTTAATGCAATTCTTCGTAAAAATTCAATTATTTTAAAAAATAAGAGTAGAGATGATTCTATCACTCAGTCGTATTTTAATAAATAGTGAAAATTAACGATCACTCCGAGTCAAGGAAGTGACTCCAAGTCACTCCTTGACTCGGAGTGATCGTTAATTTTCACTATTTATTATTTTAAAAAATGTTGATAAAGTTCTTTATAAGAATTCAAATTTTAAAAAACTATTCAATTATTCAAATAAATTATTTATTATTTAAATAATTGAATTCTCGTAGAACTTTCTAATGAGAATTGATTTAGAATTGAATAAGATAAAATTATTAAAGTTTTGAATAATTTTATTTATAAATCTAAAAAAAATGAATTGAAAAATGATTGAATTTTGAAAGAATTACTTTCGTAATTTTTAGAAAAAGTTAAATTTCAAAAATAGTGATTTTTAGAACTTTTTAAAATTCATAAATTTTACTTATTTTCTATAAACATTCATATTTTCCTATAAAAAGAATTATTTTATGGAAAATAATTTTGATGCTAGTAAATTGGCAGGGAAATTGATAAACTGAAACTTGTGACCACCCTGTAAGCATAATTACAGGTTAAATTAAAATTATACGAAACTTTCCATTCGGAAAATCTTTTGAAACATAAAAATAATTTGAAAAGGAATCATGGGTAATTGAACGCCTTGATGCAAGAACCAGACGCAGCCCATTTAATTTCAATGGCCTATGTCTGGTTCTTGCATCAAGGGGTTCAATTATTTAATTTTATTTTTTTATATTTAAACCGCACATTCGAGAAAGGTATACCCAAGAAGCAAAAAATTGTAGGTTTATGTTTAAAATCTTCAGAATAGAAATACAGAAAGACAATCAATTACCTCTACAATTTACTGATATTCAATTCTTCGTTACATTCGAAATATTCCATAAAAACTGATTGCGAAGTCATATCAATGAAAAGAATGTTTTTATCAACAAAAATCTAGTACAAACATAACCCATAATTCGTTTATGCTTCCCAAGTACGTTTTGAGAGCGTTGTCATATTTACTATTTTTTAACAAGCGGGAAACTAGGACAATAAATATTTTCAGTTAATTAACAATTTAATCCTAATAAACTTTTATTTACCTGGATAATATTTCTTGTTAAAGTTAAAATGCAACAAAAATTATCTTCATCGGTGAATCTTGATTTCTCAATCTCAATCAAACTTCTGAATTGTAAACTTAATCCTGTTGTTAAATTTAAATATCTAAAAGTCACAAAATTAAAATAAACAGTAAAAAGGTATTAAAATCAAATTTTTTGTTAATTTATTTAATTAGAATGATTAGAATGTTTTTTATCAGTGCACTGACAATTGCTGACAATTATACGATGGTCGGATGGTGTCAGGAAGGTTAGGTGAGATTAGGTTATGTCAAACTGAATTCATGTAAACACGTGTTTTGCTGATATCGAGATAGAACTAAAATTTATAAAACATTACAGAACATGAGTAGTCCAGAAATTAGAAACGTATGCAAATAAATTATTAATTAAATATAAAGTAGAGAATTATTTTTTATCAAAATTTTGACAAATTTCACTCAATTTTAAAATGATTTTTTGTCTGTTGTAATGAAAGTCGTGTATTGTGAATGTTACGTTAGCGAAAAGTTTTTAATATTTTTAGCTAGTTTTATGATATTTTAAATTGACATTATTTATTTTTACAGTTCAGAGATTTTCTGCTTCTCTATAATCAAATTTCTGAAACGTGTTTTAATCACTGTACGAATACATTCCTTACTAGAGAGATTTCATCGTATGAGGTAAAATCTTTTGTAAATATTTCTTTGTTGCTTTTGAGTTTGTTTAAATTTATTGTATTAGTAATTTTAGTTACAATTGGAAAATTGTAAGTTTAGTTACGATTGGAAAATTGTAAATTTAGTTACAATTGAAAAATTGTATTTTTAGTTACAATAGGAAAATTGTAATGTCTATTTTGGGGAAAAGAATTTAACAACATTTTCGTTTTGCTTGTTAGGATATTTGTGTAAGCAACTGTGCGCAGAAATTTGTGAACACTAATCACAGAGTTATGGAAGTTTATTCGGAAATTTTGCCAATTTTCACGAAAAAAATGATGGAGCAACAAGCAGCACAGGCAGCGGCAGCTGCTGAAAAAACCGAGAATCAATGATAATTCTAGCAAGTGTAAATATATTCTAATAATTCATTTTGACGAAGTAATGCCTACTATATGTACTCGAATAGTGTGCTATAATGTGATTTTAGGTAATTATACTTTTAAACTTTAAAAAAAAGTTGACATTTTTTGAAAAAAATTTGACATTTTCCATTGAAGCTTCATGTAAAAATGAAAAACGATTTTCTTAATAATTATTATTGACAAGTGTGTGTGTGTGGAAAAGCGAATCGAATAATCGACAAATTCTTTAATTTATTTATTTCAGTTTAATTTTTAATATACACAGTTCTTATTTTTTAGTTAATGGTTTGACAATATTTGATACTACTAATTAACAATCGCAATATTAAATTAAACCAAATGACGTCGCATCATTCGACGAGCGATTGATTCTGACCATGATGCATGAGCGTAAAATTCTTGGAATGTCGGCTCACGAAATTCCTCCTCCGGACGGGTGATGAAAATTGGTTCACCATAATAGGTACCAACTTCCCAGTCAGGATCGTTTTTCATTAATTCCCTTTCTTCGTCTCGATTCTTTCTGACTTGCTTCAGGAAACTGGACAAATAGAAAAATCAAAGGGTTTATTTTTAATTTAGAAAAAAAAGTTCTTGTTCTTCACAAGAACTTATCCGAATTTTCAAGTTTGCACATTTTCCATTTTTTCCCAATCGAGTGATAAAATCATTATTTTATATTATAAAAATATGGTTTCTGTAAATTTTTCAAAATTATTTTCATTATTTAAATTGATTTATTATTTTCTAGAATTTTTAACTAAATTTCTTCTTTAAATCAATTATTTTTAGTAATTTTTGAAAAAGCTCTTTTTGATAAATTTTAAAATTTATTTCATTACAATTCAATATTACCAAAAATTTCGACTATTTTGAAAATTCTTCAATTAAATATATTTATTTGAAAATAAAAACTTAAATAATTTCAAAAAAGATTCAATTAAACTTTAAAAAATAAAAAATTACAGAATTGATAATTTAAATTATTAAAAATTCCGATCTTCATAGATTTAAATTTAAAACCTTTTAAAAATTCACTCTATAATGCATTTAATATTAAATTATTACCTAAAATTCAATTTTAAATCAATTTTTATTAGAAAAATCTAAGAGAGTCCAATTATTTGAATACAAAAATGAAAAAATTATTGAATAATTCAATGTTTCTTCAAAATTCAATTCCCATAAAGAATTTTACAAGCAATTTTTTAAATATGAATTTTTTCGACGAATTTTAACGAATTAAATTAAAATTTTATTAGAAATAATTTAAATTCTCCGATGAGTTATATTGTATATATGGAAATAATTGAATTCCTAAAAAAAATTATTATTTATGATTCTGATAAAATTCTTTATAAGAATTCAATTATTTGGAAAAATTTTAATAAATTTCTCATCAACAATTCAATGATTTTAAAAATTTTAATAAAATTCCCATCAAGAATTCAATTAATTTCAGACATCATATAAAATTCTTGGAAAGAATTCACTTTTTTTTAAAAATTTTTAATAAAATTCACAGCAAGAATTCAATTACTTTCAGAAATAATAAAATTCCTTGAAAGAATTCAATTATTTTTAGTAATTGTATTAAAATTCTTAATAAGAATTAATTATTTTCAGAAATCTTAAAATTCTTGGAAAATTTTAGTCACCATTTTTGAAAATAATTTAATTTTTGCGAAAAATTTTATCAAAAATATTTAAAAATAATTGAATTCTTTTAGAAAATTATTGAAATTTTGACAAGAAATTTATCAAATTTTTAGAAAATAATTATATTATTTATATATGATTCTGATAAAATTCTTTATAAGAATGCAATTATTTAAAGAAAAATTTTAATAAAGTTCTCAGCATGAATTCAATTAATTTTTGAAATCTTAAAATTCTTAGAAAAAATTCAATTATTTTTAAAAATTGTAATAAAATTCTTTGTATAAATTCAATTATTTTAAAAATTTTAATAAAGTTCTTTGTCAGAATTCAATTATTTTAAAAATATTAATAAAATTCTCATCAAGAATTCAATTATTTGGAAAAATTTTAATAAAATTCACAGCTAGAATACAATTAATTTAAAAAATTATAAAAATCTTGGAAAGAATTCAATTATTTTTAGAAATTGTACTAAAATTCTTTATAAGAATGAATTATTTTTAGAAATTTTAAAATTCTTGGAAAATTTTAGTCAAAATTTTTGAAAATAATTGAATTTTTGGGAAGAATTTTCTCAAATTTTTAAAAATAATTGAATTCTTTTGGAAAGTTATTGAAAATAATTGAAATTTTGCCAAGAATTTTATTAAATTTTTTAAAAATAATTGAATTTTGGAGAAGAATTTCATTATTTATGAAAATAATAGACATTTTGACGAGAATTTTTCAGACTCATTATTTTCGGAAAAATGACCATTGGGAAATGCAGATTGAGAAAATATCCATCACTTCTTTCATAAATGACTTACGCTCGATCTCTCTCAGCCAGAAGCATTGGCAGCATAGCGAATCTTGCACTTTGCAATTCAATTTCTTCATTTTTTAATTTTCGCCACGTTAATCCATAAATATGAAATCCAACAAACTGACTGACGACAAATACTGCGATAGTTATTGGAGCTGAAAATTAAGTGAAGATTAGATTATAATTTTTAATCGACAAAATGATTTTTAAATAGGTTTTAAAAACCATTTTGCCCAGCTCTTTGCCCATTAAATATAAAAATTCAAATTCAAAATTTCGAGTAACAATTTGATCGAAACCAATTGGTATGTGTTCGTCTATTTGCTCCAAATGTGTTTAAAATCTTTCTGTCTACAGATGATGTAATCGTTAAAGTATAAAAAAAATTCCACTTCATCTATCGGCAACATTTAGAACAAATGGTAAATAAGTAATTCGGTCACTTGAACAAACATTTGCTTTTTGCTCTTCTAACTTTAATTTTCTCAAGAGTTGGATTTATTTTTTATATTCAAATAAAAAATTTTTCGACTATTCAAATTTCTCCGAATTGTCAAGAGTTTTTGCAATGTAAACATTGCAATTGACAATTCGGAGAAATTATTCCAAACTTTGGAACAACGATTAAATGATTATTCGAAGTTTTGTAATTGAGGCTAAAATGAAGACGAAAATAGTTTTCGGCTAAAATGACGGCTGGAAAGAAAGATATAAAAATAATTTTTTATATTGAACTTGAGAGATTGAAATTAGAGAGAAATGAAGGATTTACCTGAAATGAGTTTTCGCAGTTTGATTCGTTCAATTTGAATGGGACCATAACCACCTGGAGGAGGCATATCCTGAGGTCCCATTTTTGGCGATGATGCCATTATGTTATAATTACCTTTTTGCTTCTAATTATAAAAGGAAATTTATTTCACGATCTCCGCATATCAAGCGGATGTTTTAGTATTCTAGGTCCTCAAATCGGCAGAAGCCGAGATGAACTTCACTTACTGTGAAATAAAAATTTGACAAATATTATCAAAATATTCTTCTTCTTTTATAAAAGAGAAGAGGTAAAAAAAAATTCCTATGAATAATTTTTATAAGAATGGCAACTTGATGTCAAAAATTATATCACTGTACGTATTTTTTTTTATCAGTAAAATAATACTATTATTTTTTATTTTAGCTTTTATTTTTAACACTCAGAGTCTTTGTTTGACTTTTCGAATTATATTTATTTTAATATTAATATTGTCATATTTATGACATTTGATGACATTTATAATAATCACCTGTGTTCGTTTAAATCGTTTAAATTAAAAAATAAGGTAATTTTTGAGGTTAGGAACCCCAGACAAGCGCCGAAAAAATTCCACCAATCAGAATTGAGTAGTAAAAAATGGCTGCTTTTTTTTAAATACGACTAACCTTGACCAATTTTTGAACAATATTTGCCAAACATTAGTAAATTTCTCCAATTAAAAATGTTTTCTTACTATTCGAACTTTATGTTTATTAACATAACGTAAAGTTACTTTTTAGGTGAAAATTTTTCAAATGAAAGTAAATAACATTCTTTTCCCTCGTTTCGCGCCATTCCGCTCGTGGATTTTCGTGACGCGTCGCTGTAATTTTCAGAAGGATCAAGCGGTTGTCGATTGTTTTAGGTTATAGTATCACCTGACAATTAAAAATTTATTTCTTTTATTTTAAAGAAATTTTAAGGCTTCGTCTCGATTTTTGTCGAGATTAAAAGCAAGTGGAAGCATTCATGTGTTTGTTAATTAATAAGTGAAGAGTTAATTTCATTAAATTTCGTTCAAAATGAGTAGAAGAAGACCCCACGATGATGACGATGGATATGGTATGTATTTTACTAAAAATCTCTTCTAAATCTACTAAATATTTCTAATTATAGAATAAAGTTACGTTTATTTTTCTTTAATTCTTTTTTTATTTTCTAATTTCTTTTAATTCTCATTTGATGTTTGGGTAAATATGAGGAAAATAAATTTCATAGAGATTTAGGAACTTTATGCTTGGGCATTTAAGAGGATAGATTTCAAAAATGTTCAAATTCACATTAAATGTAGTTTTTTTTTATTAATAATAATTGCAATTTTCGAAAGTAGTAGTTTGCAAAGTAGCATATATGCCGCATAATTCAATAAGTTAAAGACATAATTTTATTATTATTGAGCATAATTGGAGCATAATTTGATAACTCGAGGTATAATTTTGTATTTATGTTTTGAAATATTTTGTTTGTATAAAAAATTGCTAATTAAAAGTATTAGTAAAAAAAAATTGCAATTAGGTAGACAATTTATAAAGAAATGTGACTTTTTTCGAGCTTTCTTACAAATATTGCCCTCAAAATATCACATTTTTAGTATAAAATGCAACTTATTTCGATTTTTATATAGTGTAAAAAATGTATAGACAAATCTTTCGAAAATTATTATTTTGAATCATTTTTCTAATTAAATTTTCGAAATATACAATTAAACAGATTTTTAATATGGAATTCGGTAAATAATTGAAATTTTTTAATATTTAATTGAAAATATAATTGATTTTTTTCAAGTAATTACAATTTTTGAAAATCAACACTTGAAGAATTTTAATTATGCAAATTTTGAAAATAATTAAATTCTCAAAAGCTTTAATGAAAAATGTACAAGTGTAAATTTTGAAATGAAAATTAATGAAAATTAGCTTCTAAGAATTAAATAAAATTTCAATTTCAATTATTTTTATTACAATTTTTAATCGAATTGCTCAAAAAATTTAGTAAAATTTTAATGCAAATAATATTGAATATTGTATTTAAGAACATTATTAAAATTTATAAAAATAATTGAATTCTTGCTGAGAATTTCATTAAAATTTCTGAAAATAATTGAATTCTTGTTCAGAATTTTATTAAAATTTTATAAAATGATTAAATTCTTCTAATGAATTTTATTAGAAGCATATAAAAAAATTCTTTTTAGGAATTCAATTATTTTTATGAATAATAAAACTCGTCGCAGAATTTCAATTAATTTTAATAAAATTTTAATAAAAATAATTGAATATTGCATTTAAGAATTTTATTCCAATTTCTAAAAATAATTTAATTCTTTCGAAGAATTTTATAGTAATTCCTGAAAATAATTGAATTCTTGCTGAGAATTTTATTAAAATTTTTGAACGTAATTTAATTCTTATAAAGAATTTTTTTACAATTTCTAAAAATAGTTTAATTGTTTTGAAGAATTTTATTATTTCTGAAAATAATTAAATTCTTGCTGTGAATTTTATGAAAATACTAAAAATCATGAAGAGAATTTGAATTCAATTGAAGTTGATGAGAATTTTATTAAAATTTTTTAAATAATTAAATTCTTACAAAGAATTTTATTACAATTTTTAAAAATAATTGAATTTTTGCTAAAAAAGTTATTAAAATTTTCGAAAATAATTTATTTCTTATAAATAAAGAATTTTATCAGAATTAAATAATAAAATTCTTTTTAGCAATTCAATTATTTTAATCAATAATAAAACTGATAAAATTTTTGTAAAGAATTTTATTTCAGTTTTTAAAAATAATTGAATGCTATCCAAGAATTTTATGATTTCGGGAATTTTATTAAAATTCGTCGAAAGAATTCAATTATTTAAAAATTTATTGATAAAATTCTTTATGAGAATTCAATTTTGAGAAAAATTCTATTATTTAAATAAATTATTTATTTTCGTATTTAATTCATTGTAAAATTAAGAAAGAAAGAAAGAAAGAAAGAAAGAAATAAGTAATTGAGTTCTCGTAGAATTTTCTAATAAAAATTAGGTAATTTAAAAATGAATTTTAGTTAAAATTTTCGATGTAATAATTGAATCGATTTCTTCATGTTTTGTGATAATATTCTTATAAGTTGTTGAATTTCGAAAAGGTTTTGAATTTGGGGATTGAATTTAAATGTTTTAAAAATGTTAATTCCTACGAAAAAATAATAATAATTATAAATTTATTTAAAAAGAACTTATTGATGTTTTCAAATAATTTCACTTTTGAAGAAATTTGTAAATTTGTAAATGTAATAGAATATTTTTTTGAGTCTCTAATAATTTTTCGAGTGAATCGGAATATTCTTTAGTCTCAGGGAAAATGTCAAAATTTTATCTGGAAGTAAGGGAAAAGTCAGGGATAAGCGAAATTAAATTTTTGTAGCAACCCTGATTGGAAAAGCATAAAGAACATTTTTAAGAGTATAATTATATCACAATTGACATTATTTAGAAGCATAATTAAGGCATATATTTATTTTGAAAATATAAATCGTCTCGATGTCTCGATAAAGAGCATAAAGTTCCAGTCTGTAAATTTAGAACTTGAATTTGGAAAATTTTGATTATTTTTTGAAAAATTAAAATTAATTTTTTGAACCATTGAGAAACTGAAAAATTTGTTACAGAACGCGTTTACAAGAAAAGAAGACGAGTATCGGAGAATCAGGAGATAGAGGATCGTCTCGAGTCACTAATTCTGAGAGTAGGCGAGAAGTCAACGTCATCACTTGAGAGTAATTTAGAAGGATTGGCCTCTGTTCTCGAGGCTGATTTAGGATTATTTCGCAGTAAAATTCTACGAATTCTCACCGACTGTGCGATAAAGATGCCTGAGAAGTGTACAATTTACACGACCCTAGTGGGTCTGTTGAACGCAAAGAATTTCAATTTCGGAGGTGAATTCGTCGATTATATGGTGAAAAATTTCAAGGACGCCTTGAAGACTGGCAAATGGAATGTGGCGAGATATTCACTGAGATTTTTGGCCGATCTGGTGAATTGTCACGTACTGTCCTGCGGTTCATTGATGCAATTATTCGACAGTATGTTGGACGCTGCGAATGAGGACAGCGTGCCGCAGGTGAGACGCGATTGGTACGTTTTTGCAGTTCTCTCAACATTGCCCTGGGTGGGACGTGAGCTCTACGAGAAAAAGGAGCAGGAATTGGATCATCTTATGGTGACAATCGAAGTGTTTTTGAATAAACGCAGCAAGAAGCATCAACCGGCTCTTAGAATTTGGTCCAGTGATACGCCACATCCACAGGAAGAGTACTTGGATTGCCTGTGGGCGCAGGTGAGAAAATTACGACAGGATAATTGGGCCGAGAAGCATATCCCACGACCTTATCTTGCATTCGATTCGATTTTGTGCGAAGCACTTCAACATAATTTGCCAACGCTTATTCCACCGCCACATCATGAATCCTACGTTTATCCTCTGCCGAACGTCGTGTTTCGAATGTTCGACTACACCGATTGTCCCGCTGAGGGACCACTTTTACCCGGAAGTCATGCAATCGAGAGATTTTTAATTGAGGAACACTTGAGACAGATTATTGATAATTACTTCTTTGAACGGAAAGACTGCGCTGCTCATTTGTTGAATTTTCCCTATAAATTGAAAATCCCTTTGGACTATTGCATTGTGGAGGTGATGTTTGGCGAATTGTTTCGTTTACCAACGCCGAAGCACTTGGAAATTGCTTATGGTTCGATTTTGATTGAACTTTGTAAACTACAACCATCGACAATGCCACAAGTTTTGGCGCAAGCGACGGAGATTTTATTCCGACGAATTGACAGTATGGCTGCGACGGCTTTCGATCGATTTGTTTGGTGGTTCGCTTATCATTTGAGCAATTTTCAATTCCGCTGGTCTTGGGAGGATTGGGACTCGTGCCTACAACGTGAGACTGAACATCCTCGACCGAAATTCATTCAGGAGGTGCTTCAAAAAGCTTTACGGTAAGAGAATTTAATTCGAGAGTAAATTCAACTAAATTGAGTTTTATTCGAAGAAAATTCAATTAAATTGTAAAATATATTTTTCAGATTATCGTATTATCAGAGAATTCGTGATATGATGCCCGAGACGTATGCCAGTTTGATTCCAGAGCATCCGGAGCCGATTTATAAATACTCTGCGGAAGGTGCAAGTAAGTTTTGCAAAAAGCAATTTGTTGACAAATAACAAAAGTTATTTTTTATTTCATTGTTTATTTTTGTCAACACTTTTTAATTTAAACACTTTTTTAATTTTTAGGCGCACTTCCGGGAACGACAACCGCTCACGAACTTGTAATGTCGATCAGAAGAAAATGTACTCCGGAAGAAGTTTTGACTGTGTTGAACACTCTGCCAGGAACAGGAGACGACGAAACATTTAATCCGCTGAAAATTGACGTTTTTGTTCAAACTTTACTAAATCTGGGCTCGAAAAGTTTCAGTCACAGTTTCGCGGCAATTGGCAAATTTCACTATGTGTTCAAAGTAAATTTTATTGTTTTATGTTTTTATATAAGAAAATAAGATTTTTTGTCTTTTAATTGAAATTATAATTTTATTATTCTCTTTTTATTCAAGGTCCTGGCTGAAACAGAAGAAGCACAAATTTGCATTCTGCGAAATATGTTCGCTCTTTGGCGAAATCATCATCAAATGATGGTGGTGTTGACTGACAAATTATTGAAAACAGGCATCATTGAATGTAGCGCAATTGCCAATTGGATATTTTCCAAGGAAATGCCTTCAGAGTTTACCAAGTTAGTACAAAATAAAAAATATTCAATTATTAAGTAATTTACTAATTAAGGGGAGGTTCTCATTGCAGAGGCCAAAATAAACACAAACTTTGACAATTTTTTGCAAAGAACGGCTATGACTTAGCGATTTAGTTTTTTTTCTAAATAAAGATACATTCTTGAACTTTTACAACATATATTTCATTTTCAAAAAAATGCAAAATGGCGGCCAATATGGCGCATCTAGAAAATAATGTTTTTTTAAATAAGGAAAACGGTGGGCATTCTACACTGCGCAATTTTTAGTCTAAAACAGAAACTCAAAATTTTTTATAAAGATGACATCCTAAAGAATAGGTTATACCTATAAAATAGTTAAAAAGTTAACAAAATGACAAAATGGCGGACACATTTTTAAAAAAACTGCGTTTTTGCATTATTTTTCCATATTTGACCTCTTGTAAAAATCTGTATTGTTAACAATTTTATCATATTATAGGTATAACCCCTGTAGAATTTAGTTACCTTTAATAAACCACAAACCCGAAGTTGATTGATTAAATAGTTTAGACGCTACGATGCCCACCAGTTTAAAAAATCTTGTTTCGAGAAAAACGCGTTTAGCTTGAAAAACATTTTTGTGCAATAATTGTATTCTTTGCAATTCTTTGTTCAATTTGCGTATATGATAAATATCTATAGGTATTTAGGGTCTCTCTTTACGATTCTGAGGTCAGATTTGCAAAATTTTTAAAAATTGATGTGATTTGCCTGACATTTGTTACTTAGTGCTCGGGACGTCGGTTAGTTCAAGACTCTATAAAATCGAAAATATTCTTCGGATCAAAAAATCGGTATACACACATATTCTACATATATATAGCTTTCAAAAAATACAATAAAAAAGAAATCAATTTTTTTGACTCCCGCGATGGGAACCTCCCCTTAATTATTATTTATTGTTTTCAAAAAATTTATTGAAATTCTTTGTAGGAATTTAATTTTTTTTAAATAGAATTTCAATAAAATTTCTCAAAAGAATTAAATTATTTTTAAAAATTTTATAGAATCGTTCGCAGAAATTTAATTATTTTAAAACATTTCAATTATATTCTTAATAGGAATTCACTTATTTTTAATACATTTTTAATCAAATTCTCCCGAAAATTTCAATTTTATTCAATTATCGAAAGAATTCAATTAATTAAAAAACATGTAATAAAATTTCTCCAAAGAATTTAATTATTTAAAAAAATGTTAATTATAACATTCTTGGAATAAATTCAATTGAGGGGCTGGATGCTATAATGTGTTACGCGCCATGTTAAGTGAATGGCGCGTAACACATTATAGCATCCAGCCCCTCAATTATTTTCCAAAATTTTGATAAAGTTTCTCAAAAGAATTCAATTATTTTTGAAAAAATACTTTTCAAAAATTTAAATTGTTTTGGAAATTATTGACTAAATTCATCAATAAAAATGAAATATTTTCTATTTATATTTTAATTAAATTTTTTAATACAATTTTAATAAAATTCTCCCTAAAATTTAAATTATTTCCCAACTATTATCCAAAGAATTCAATTAATTAAAAAAATGTAATAAAATTTCTCCAAGGAATTCAATTATTTAAAAAAAAATGTTAATTACAACATTCTTTACAGAAATTCAATTATTTTTAAAAATTTTGTTATTTTAACCTTTCTCGGAAAAAATTGAATTAATATTAAAAAATTGTAACAAAATTTCTCGAAAGACTTTAATTATTTGAAAAATTTTTAATTATAAGATTCTTGTTATAAATTCAATAATTTTTAAAAGTTTTGATAAAACTATAAGAATTATAATATTTTTAAAGATTTTAATTAAGTTTTTTGCCAGAAATTTAATTGTTTTTAAAAATTTGGATAAACTTTTTTAAGAATTCAATTATTTCAAATTCAAAATTATAAATGAAATAATATAAAAGAAATTTTTTTAATTCAAAACAATTTTGTTTAATTAATTTTTGGTATATTTTAATCTTCAAACGAAATAATTTGAAAATTTATGAAAATAATTGAATTCTTTCGAGAAATTTAATTAAAATTGTACTGAATATAATTGAATACTTTTGAATTTTATCAAAATTTTTCAAAATAATTGAATTTCTATGCAAAGAATTTCATTAAAATGTTTTTAAGTAATTGAATACTATAGAGAAATTATAAAAAGTAGAAAATAATTGAATTCCTGCGATGAATATAATTATGTAATTAAATTTTTGTTGAAACATTTAAATTTGTTGAAATTAATTGAATTGTTTTTAAGATTTTTACTAAAATTCTTTTAAAGAATTTGATTGTAATTGAATTAAAAATAATTGAATTCTTATTAAAAAGTTATAAAAATTCGTTGAAATAATGTAAAATTTGACAAGAATTTTATTATAGTTTTTTAAATTAATTGTATTTTTCGCGTAATTTTATTAAAATTGTGTTGAAAATTCATGTCCGTTAATTTTTTTTTAGACTCTACATTTGGGAAGTTTTACATTTGACAATATTGAAAAAGAATAAGCACGTTATTAAATTGACGAAGGAATTGAGTGAGACACGTGAGAAATTACGAAGAGCCGAGAGTAGATCTGGATCATCGTCAGAGGACGAGGAGAATAAAGAGAAGAGCGGAGAAAGACCTTCTGAAGATGTCGTCGAACGAATGGAGGAAAAACTTGAAGCTGCACAAGCTGATCAAAAAAATCTCTTTCTCATTATTTTCCAACGTTTCATAATGATTCTCTCAGAGCATTTGGTGCGTTGCGACACTGACGGCGTTGATTACAATACACATTGGTATCGTTGGACTGTTGGACGTCTTCAACAAGTGTTTTTATTGGTAATTTATTATTTAATTAACACTATAATATTAACTAAATTATGAATTAATATAATTAACAAATTTATGAATTAATGTCACTGGTCTCGGATATTATTATTAGAATTTTGTTATCCTAATTTCAATAATTGAATTTAGAAATCAGTAAAAGTAGCGAAATCAGTAAAAAATCAGGGAAATACAAAATAACATTTTTGTGACAACACTGAATTAAATAAATGACTTTTTTTATTTCTAATCGACTGAAGCGACGTTTTTTTCGCCTTAAAATCAATCCGAGACCTGATATCATTATGAAAATTATAAATTAATATCATCAACTAAATTACGGATTTCTAATTTTTTTTCAGCATCACGAACAAGTGCAAAAATATTCGTCAACTTTGGAAACATTACTTTTCACATCAGATCTCGATCCCCATATACTTGATGTTTTCCATCAATTTGTTTCGCTACGTGCGTAAAAAAGAAAACTCCTCTGAAAATCAACATACAAGTATCGAATTATAATTTCGCTACTTTCGTTGTAATTGACTCGTTTTTAATGCAATGTTTAAAATGTAAAGTGAATAGGTATCACTTTATTGATGAGACATCAAAATATTGATATTTTCTTTGATTATAATTATTTTTAAATAATAATTTTCTTTTAAAAATAATTCTGAACGAAAGCATCACGTGAAATTACTCTAAATATTTACATTATCGAGAATAGATTATTTATTTTCAATTATATGTGAAGTTAAAAAGTTTTTAACTTTAATTTTCATATTAAAAGAAAAAAAAAGAGTGCGTGTGTGTTGGGGGAAAAGAATGGAATATACATTTTCTAATTTAGAAAAAAAAGGTTTAATATTAAGGAATGAAAATTTGATTCTTCAGATTATTGTTTAAGAAGCTTTTCTACTCCACTTGTCAATGTTGCCTTAAAAATGTAACAAGATGTCGAGAGTATGTAACATTCTAAAGATTAGGTAGAGAACAAAAATAATTTACATACCTATAAATCGTACGTTTTGAATAATATTCAATTTTGACAAATTGTGATTTTGATATTGAAATCATAATTTCTTTTTGTTCCCTACTTCATCTGTACATATTTATTTTTATGTGCATATGTGTATATAAATATTTCTTTGTGCATAAAATCTTCCTGATATATTGAAATTTACTCTTTTTGTTATTTTGTTGAATTGAAATTAATTTTAATATGATGATAGGTATTGTGAATCTGCGTCTTGGAGTGAAAGTTCTGGTGGCATTGTGAATGAATTACACCTCCGGAATGGTTGATTGAAGTTACAAATTGATGAATGCTGTTTCAAAGAACCCTTTTGTATTTGCTCCTTGTACAAGGAATTTGCGACATCTCCGTACAGTGGATATTTCAGTTGGATCTATTTTTATCAACAGAAAGAAGGTAAGAATTTTTTATTACAATTTTTTTTACGTTTATGCGGACATTGAATCAAATTATGATTTTATATTTCAAAAATATTTCATTAAAAAAAAATAAGTTTTTTGATTTATAAATTAATAATTTAGAAGAGATTTTTGGCCAAAAATCTCTTTTAAATTATTAAATTATAAATCCAAAAACTTCTACTTTTATAAATGAAATATTTAAGTTATTAATTTTTTATGTATTAAGGGAATGTCAAAGTCGATGCGACCTTTTAATTGAATTTCAATTAAAAAATCAAATCGTCTTTTGAAAATTGCCAAAGACGATTTTTTAATTGAAATTCTCTTAAAGGAGAAAAAAAATTAATATTTTTATTAGAATTAAAAAATATTTATGACTTTAATGGAAATTCTCTTAAAAGAGAAAATAATTAATATTATTATTAAAATTAAAAAATATTCTTGTCTTTAATTAAAATTCCCCTAAAAGAGAAAAAAATTAATTTTTTTTTATTAGAATTAGGAAAAATTCATGACTTTTATTAATTGAAATTCCCTTGAAAGAGAAAAAAAATATTTTTATTAGAATCAAGAAAGATTCATGACTTTTATGAACAAATTGATAGAAAAACAAAGAAACCAATTTCGAAAAAATTAGTTCCGGCTTTGTATGAATCCCCGAAAAAAAAGACTTACGTTAACTGTGCAATCATTTTCCATTAGAGGCTTGAAATTAGAATCACAAAAACTTTCAATATATTCTGTGGAAATAGAATCGGGTAATGGCAAATCTTCCAATTCCTCTTTTTGAATTTCTTCAGCAGCTTGCAATTGAAAATATTTTTTCAACAATTTTCTTCGTTTTCCTATATACATGGGAAAATATTTCTATAGAATAATTCTAAGAGAGAAATAAAAAAAAACAGTGAAAGTAAAAGTAAAATAAATGTTTCATGAAGATTTACCAATTTCTTCTTCGGTACTTTTTATCAAAGGAAAAGAATTTTTTGTCTCACTTTGCCAATCTTTTGTCAGAATATTTTCATCCATATTCAAGGGATTATTTCTTTGTTGTTGAAAAATTTGTTTCTTTGAAAATTCCTCTTTTGCCATTTAAAGTGATTATTAATTTACTAAAAAAAAGTGCGAAAAAAATATATTTAATGAATTTTATTGTAATAAACAAACTGTTTAATTATTTATTTTTTTTAATTCAAATAATTTTGCAAAAATTAATAAAATAATTCTGTGATTATAAAAATATATTTATTATTTTTCTGGTAATCTGTTCGCAGTTTGAAGTTAGATGTTTTCATTTGCATTTTGTTTCATAATTTTTTTGATATTATGAAATTTTTTACAAAATTATAAAATTTTTCGCAAAAATTTTATTAAAATTCTTTAAAACAGTTAAATTTGAGCGAAGAATTTGATTAATTATGAAAATAATTCAATTAACATATATAATTTTTCGAAAATTTTTGACAATAATTGAATTTCTGCGAAGAATTTTATTGAAATTCTTTAAAATAATTTTAAATTCCTGTGGAAAATTGTATAAATTATGAAAAAAATGAAATCTTGCTAAGAATTTAATTAAAATTTTAATTGAAAATATTTCATTTCTCTTGATGAATTTAATTAATAGTTTTTAAAATAATTTTAATGTTTGAAAAGAATTCCATAAAAAATAATTGAATTTCTGCGAAGAATGTTACAATTAACATTTTTTTTAAGTAATTGAATTCTTTGGAGAAATTCTATAACATTTTTTTTTTATTCATTGAATTCTTTCGAGAAATATTAATAATTAAGAAAATAATTGAAATTTTGGCGGGAATTTGATTAAAATTGTATTAAAAATAAGTTAATTCTTATAAAGAATATTAATAAATTTTTTCAAATTAATTAAATTCCTATGAACAATTTTATTTATTTATTTAGAAAAAAAAATTTTTTACAAAGTATTTAATTTAGTTTTTTTTCCTATAAAGAATTATAATGAAATTCTTCAAAATAATAAAATTTTTGAAAAGAATTTTATTGAAATTATTTTAAATAATTGAATTTTTTCATGGAATTCAATTAAAATTGTATTGAAAATAATTCATTTCTGACAAATAATTTAGTCAAAATTTTTAGAAATGATTGAATTTTTGCGAAGAATTAAATTCAATTTTTGTAAAATAATTGATTTTTTTCTGGGAATTTAATTAAAATTGAATTGAAAATATTTCAATTCTCATAACAAGTTTAGTCAAAATTTTTCAAAATACTTGAATTTCTGCGAAGAATTTTATTAAAATTCTTTAAAATGATTTAAATTCCTGTAAAAAATTGTATAAATTATGAAAAAATTGAAATCTAAGAATTTATTTAAATTTTCAAAAATAATTGAATTTGTTCGAGGAATTTAATTTAAATTTGATTGAAAATTCTTCCATTCTCATGAAGAAATTATTCAAAATTTTTCAAAATAAATTAATTCTTTTATTAAATTTTATTGAAATTATATTGAAAATAATTTAATTTCTGCAAAGAATTTTATTAAAATTCATTCATATAATTAAATTCTTGAGAAGAATTTTATGAAATTAAATTAAAGAGAATAAAATTAAAATTTTCGATAATAATTGATTTTTTTCGAGAAATTTAATAAAAATTTTATTGAAAATATTTCAATTCTCATCTAGAGAATTTAATAAAAACTTTTCAAAACAATTAAATTTTTGCGAAGAATTTTATCAAATTTAAGAAAATAATTGAATTCTTTTGATAAATTTTATTGAAATTGTATTGAAAATAATTGAGATCCAGCGATGAATTTTATTAAAGTTTTTGAAAGCAGTAAATAATTATAATTAGTTAGCAAATTAATTAATTTATTCAATTTAGCAAATTAATTACTAGGTTATTGAATTTTTAAAAATTTTGAATCTGAAATTATTAATTTAAAATAAACAGTTTTTAATTTACATAATAATAATTATGAAAATAATTATGAAAAAAAATTAAAATTAAAAAAGTAGAAGAAGAAGAAGAAGAAGAAAAAGAAAAAGAAGAGAGTTGAAAATTGAATGAAACTGATTATAACCAATTTATTTAATTCTTATTACAAAACGTTAAACATGTAAAAGAACTATGGCACGATAGTTTTTAAAAATGTAAAATATGCGCTTTAAATGAAGGGAGATAGGTTCTTGCGCGAATTGACTTACATATGTAAATTGTAAATGACGAAAAGCCGTATGGATTAAAGCTGATACTAAATAGGATGATCAATTATAATTGATTGATATAACTATTGTCACTATGGGAACCAAACAGAAGTATGTCTCTTACAAATACTCGCTTAACTATATTTCTTTTTTTTTGAACGCAAGATATTCTTAATATCTTTACTTCGACTACGACACAAGTGCATTTGGTAAAATTGCCAAATATCTTTTTATTCAACTTTATTTATTTAAAAAACATTTTTTTTATTTTTTTTTTTTAATATTTCACTTTTATTTTTTTTATTTTTCTTTAATATTTCTTTTTCTTTATTTTTTTTCTTCGTTTCATTTTATTTTCCTTTTTTTAAATATTTCATTATTACCATTTTGCAATATTTCTTTTTCTTTATTTTTTTTCTTCATTTCTTTTTCAATGGGGAAGACTGACTAAATTTCTTTTTCCATTTAAAAAATAATTCTCTTAAAAATAATATTTATATAATAGAGAAAAAAAAATACAAATATATATATATATTTTTTATAAAAAGACTAAAGTAAAGAACACACTCGTGAAAGCAAATTTACCAAATGCATTTGTATAAAATACTACAATATAATCAACCTCCAACTCGACGATTAACTTGCACGAAGGTCACTTTCGAATCACGAAAAAAAGGGCAAAACTTTTTTTTTTTTTTTTGGTTTTGCATTTTTAAAGAAGTGCGCGCAGAGGAGTATTGCATCCGTCAAGTCATTTTTTATAAAGATTAGAAAATGACCTCTATTTTTTATGCACCGATTTTTAGTGTTCGATGCATGAAATATAATAATGATTAATTGATAAACGAGGAACTATTTAGTGGCAAAAGCCGAAAAAGTTGTAATTTCAAGAGTTGCAATGTATACCTACTGAAACACTTAGCACTAGGTACACTACACACAATTAAATTTACGCTTTCCAAATTTTGGTACATTCATTTTTGATTCACTGAAAAAAATTGTTACCAGACTTTTTTGAATTTTGATTCCATTTTATTTTTTAGTTTTTTTTTTCAAAGAAAAACTATTATCTTTTTATTGAAATTGCGTCTAATGAATGAATTTTCTTTTTTCGGAAAATCGGAGCAAAAGGAATGAGAGAGTTAAATTAATTAAATTAATTAAATTAATTAAATTAATTAAATTAATTAAATTAATTGAATTAATTAAATTAATTAATTAATTAATTTAAAAGAAGTTGTTACCGAAAATAAATTTCATTTCATTGAAACTAAAAAATATTTGAAACTAGAAATTGTTTACAATTTCTAGTTTCAAATATTTTTTAGTTTCAATGAAATTTTTTTTTCACTTCTGCTCCGATTGTTTGTCCAATTTTTTTTCCTCTTTGACGAATTGACGAATTGAATTTTAAAGAAATTTTTTTGATAACAGTTGAGAGAATAGTGAAAAATGGGAGCAACAAGCTTTTTTTCGGGATTTGATTTTTTTTGTGTATAAAAACAATTTTTTAAAGTGCTTGTTGAGCTTTGATCGGCGATAATAATTCGACAGATAGCAACGAGAGGTAGTTTGTCCAAAAATTTGGAATTAGCAATCATCTAATTTTTTTTTTTAAATGCAATAACATTAATATTTTTTTTTCTTTTTTTTTTTTTTCTTTTGAGACTCGCATCGATCAAAATTCTATTTTCTTTTATCTCGCTTAAATATCTCTTTTTCTCGCATAGATATTTATATTTTTCTTTTTATATAGATAAATATTTATGATTCAATCACTCACAATTACAAATATGCGTTTATAAATACGGCCACGTTGCTAGGTACTAAAATGTAGGGAAAAATGGATTTTGTCCCGCCTGATGCTACTATATAATGTTACTGTCAATGGCGTCAATTATATCATTGCAATCATTAACATCGAATGTATCGTTGGCGATAAAATCGGTGTCGTCGTCGTCGTCATTTATTTTCTCGCTATTACTACTTGTAGGCTCTTGTTTTATTATAAAATCCTTCATGTAATCTTGATTTTGATTAATACTCAGGTCATTTTCATTTGATAAAATATTTGTACCCTTTTGTTCGGGTATTTTGCTCATTGCTTCATTGAGGGTTTTTAATTCGGGTTTTATATCGGGTTTTGGTAGGAATGCTGCTTTTCTCTCTTTTTTCACTGGTTTTGGCATTTCTCTCTCGTACATAAATGTCTTTCGCTTTCGTTTCACTGGTGTGCATACTTTTTTGTAGAGAATTTTCATTTCTTTTATTAAATTACTCGGTATCGTCCAATCCATTTCGGGCGAATCTGTATCGGGATTTCTCGTTGTATCCAAATCAACATCGTATTCAGGAATTTCGAGACCCAATGTTTTCATGACATTTGTCATGATTTCGTCGATTTTTCCATTTATTATCAAATCGGCTTTTTTGTCCTGGAAAAAATTCAAGTTGAATTTAAAAATTTCTTGGAGCGAGTTTAAAAAGTCAGGCCTTGGATCGACTCTAAGACGCAAAAAAAAGACGCTTTAGTTGATTAAAAATAAAAAGTCGAAAAAGTAGTTTATTTAAATGAGAGTTGTCACAAAAATTTTATTTTTTATTTTCCTGAGCTTTCACTCATTTCTAAATTTAATTATTCAAAAATTGAATAACATTTAAATACCTATTTTTTTATCCAAGGGAAATAAAATTTTAAAAATTTCAATTTAAAACTTTCTGATATTTAATAATTTCTAAAAATTAACACCTCTAAATCAATTATTTTTAATAATTTTCCAAAAGTTCTTTAAAATAATTAAATTCCTGTGAAGAATTTTTTTCAAATTCTTTAAAATAATTGAAATTTTGGCAAGAATTTTATTAAAATTTTTGAAAATAATTGAATTTCGGAGAAGAATTTTACTAAAATTTGTCAAAGTAATTGAATTTCTCCGAAGAACTTTATTATATTTAGGAAAAAAATTAAATTTTTTCAAAGTATTTAATTAAATTTTTTTCTTATAACGAATTTTAATGAAATTTTTCAAAGTAATCAAATTTTTAACAAGAATTATATCTAAATTCTTTAAAATAATAAAAATTCTTGCAAAGAATTTTATTAATTCTAAAAATAATACAATTCTCATAAATAATTTTATCAAAATTTTTTTAAGTAATTGAATTTCTGCGAAGAATTTGATTAAAATTTTTTAAAATAATTAAACTCTTGCAAAAAATTTTAATATTTATCAAGAAAATAATTGAAATTTTGATAAGAATTTATATAAATTTTAAAAAAATAATTCAATTTTTTCGAGGAATTAAATTTAAATTGAATTAAAAATATTTTAATTCTCATAAAAAGTTTAGTCAAAAGTTTTCAAAATTATTGAATTTTTGTGAGAAATTTTATCAAATTTTTAAAAATATTTGAATTCTTTTGGAAAATGTTTGAAAATAATTAAAATTGTGCCAAGAATTATATTAAAATTTTCTACATTAATTGAATTTTAGAGAAGAATTTTATTATTTATAAAAATAATTATAAAAGTAATTGAATTCTTTTGAATAATTTTTGAAAATAATTTAAATTTCGACCAGAATTTTATTAAAATTTTTGAAAATAATTGAATTTCGGAGAAGAATTTTACTAAAATTCGTCAAAGTAATTGAATTTCTGCGAAGAATTTTATTAAAATTCTTCAAAATAATTAAAATCCTGCAAAAAATTTTAATATGTATGAAAATAATTGAAATTTTGCTAAGAATTTATTTAAATTTTAAAAAATAATTCCTTTTTTTCGAGGAATTCAATTTAAATTGAATTAAAAATATCTCAATTCTCGTAAAAATTTTGGAAAATAATTGAATTTTAGCGAAGAATTTTATCAAATTTTTAAAAATAATTGAATTCTTTTGGAATATTTTTGAAAATAATTGAAATTGTGTCAAGAATTATATTAAAATTTTTTGAAAATATTTGAATTTTAGAGAAGAATTTTATTATTTATAAAGATAATTGACATTTTGACGAGAATTTTAAAAAAATTTTTGAACATAATTGAATTTTTGCGCAGAATTTTATTACTTTTGAAAATAATTTAATTTTTGCAATAATTTGTTAAAAATAATTCTAAAAAACATTAATTTTTATTTTTTTTGTATGTATTTGAGTATTCGAAAATATGTAATTGAAAATATTGAAAATAATTGAATTTTAAAAAAGTAGAATACAAAAATTTTAAGAATTAATTTTTTGAAAAATATTTTTATATTTAATTTTTAGAAGATAATTTTCATTTGAAAATTTTTACTTGAAGATTTTTCATTAAATTTCTTAAGAATTTGATTATTTTCAAAATTTGCAATTAAAATTCTTCAAGAGTTGATTTTTAAAAATTGTCATAAAATAATACTTCCGAGGTCTGTAAAGTGAAGAAAAGAGACATTCTTTTTTATCTTTATGAGACAATTAGATAGTGATAAACTATTTACGTGTTTTGTTGGTTGTAGATTGCAAATAACAAGACGACCACCGTATTTTTTCGTGTATAAAGGTAAATTTCCACTGGGTATTATTTGTAGAGTCGTTCCCAAACATATGCTCAAGTCGGCAACACTGAAACATTTTCAACGTTCGTTACTTTTTTATCGTTTAATTTCAAAAATTATAATTTTCAAAAAGAATATCGTATCAAATACTTTTAAACAAAAACTATATTCTCAACTCCAATTTGAAAAGAAATTTAGAGAAATTATTTTTTTATTCCGATTAAAGAACTGTTACTTCTTTAACTTGAATTCGAAACAAAAACTATTTATTCTCAACTCCAATTTCAAGAGAAATCAAGAGAAATTGTTTTTTATTCCGATTAAAGAATTGTTATTTCTTTAACTTGGATTAAAAGACTGTTGGTTTTTTGTTAAGACTTTGATTTAAAAATTGTTACTTTTTTCTTGACTCTGATTAAAGAATTATTATTTGCAAATAATTTTATTATCAAAGAGGGAAAATTATTATTTGCAAATAATTTTATTATCAAAGAGGGAAAATTATTATTTGAAAATAATTTTATTACCAAAGGAGGGAAAATTATTATTTTAAAATAATAATAATAATTTTATTATCAAAAGAGGGAAAATGTACCTGGAGTGAAGATCAGAAAGTGTAAGATCATCATTTGGTAAACTGTGTTCCCAATCGAGAATTGTGTCGTGCATTTTTCCACGACAAGGACGACCTCCCGTTTGACTTGATCTGCAGACCGTTTCGAGACACTTTTTACCAACACTTTTTGTTGAACGGTTACGGATGAATTGCCTGCAATAAATGTCCAATGATTTATATAGCGTGTCAAATGAAAAAGCAGAAAAAAAAAGAAAAAGAAAAAAAAAATTACACAACTTTAGTTTCTACATTTATGGTAAAAGTGTACCTTCCACACTTGTCGCATTGTTCGACAAACATATTTCCATGTAATTCCGCAATAGATTGCCTTCCAACTCCCGATTTTAGATGCAATCCATCAATATTCTGACTTACTATATACTTAACTTTATCTGCAAATGAAATTTAATGAGTCGATAAATAATTTTTTGGAAAAATTCCTATAACAAGAGAAATTTAATTAATTTCGAGTTTTACTCGAAAATAAAGTTAAAAACATATTTTTAGAAATAATTCACAAAATAGATCAAAATAACAGATTTTTCGTTTAGATAAAATTTTTTTGTATTTATATTTTTTTGTATCTGGAATTTTTTGTTTTACTGAATCTATTTTGATCTTTATTTGATTTAGTAGAAATATTTCCGTTTTTGGTACTTTTTTTTCAACTATTCAAAAATTTTGCGAGTAATTAAAAAAATATGTTGGAAATTTACTGTTGTCGACTAATTTCTTAATCGCCATGTGCGCTTTTGTTGGAATCGCATCATCGAAAGCGACACTCATTGATGGTTTTTCGCCTATTTTTTCCAATGTCCAAACTCCATTCGGTCCTCTGAAAATAAATTTCAATGTTGTAAATATTTTCTTCAAATTTCCTTAAAAATAGTTTGAGAAAAAACAATACTTTTCTTTTTTTCTTTAACAATTAATAGAAAGATATTTAATTAAAATTATAATAACAGGCCTCGCACTCATCTACTAAAACCTACTATTTACTAATTTTTTTACGATTTGCTACTATTTGGATACTTTTTTTTATTTGTTATACTAAAAGCTACTTTTTTCCATGTTTTAAAATTTACACTACTTTAAATTTGTTTACAGTTGAAATTAAAAATTGTTTAAAAAATTTTTAATAAAGTTATTGGAAATAATTCAACAAATTTTAATAAAATTCTTTAAAACGATTCAATTATTTTCACAAATTTTTTATAATTTAATGATTTTTAATATTTCTATTTTAATAAAAAAAAATTTCCCAAAAGAATGGAATAATTTAATAAAATGTTTATAAAATTCTTCGCAAACATTCGATTATTTTCATAAATAACAAAATTTTCACAGGAATTCAATTATTCTTTTAATTTTAATAATAATCGTTGCAAGAATTCAAATTAGTTTTATAAAAAAAAACTCATCGCAGGATTTCAATTATTTTTGATACAATTTTAAATGAATTCCGCGAAAAATGCAATAATTTTTAAAAATTTTAATAAAATTCTTTGAAAGAATTGAATTATTTTAAAAAATTTCAATTAAATTCTTTATAATAATTGAATTGTTTTCAATATAATTTTAATAAAATTCTTGGCAAAATTTCAATTATTTTCAAAATTTTTGCAAAAGAATTCAATTATTTTGAAAAATTTGATAAAATTCTTCGCAAAAATTCAATAATTTTGAACAAAATTTCGACTTAGCTTTTTATGAGAATTGAAATATTTTCAATTGAATTTTTATTAAATTTCTCGAGACAATTCAATAATTTTCGAAAATTTTTATTAAATTATTAGCAAAATTTCAACTATTTTCATAATTTGTAAAAATTTTTTCAGTAATTTAATTATTTTAAAGAATTTGAATAAAATTCTTTACAGGAATTTAATTATTTTCTATTATTAAATAGATTTTTATAAAATTCTTCGCAAGAATTCAATTATTTTTAGAAAATAAAAATCTTCGAAGGAATTTAATTATTTTAAAAAATTTTAATAATAATCGTTGCAAGAATTCAATTATTTTTAATAAAATATTAAAACTTATTTCAGGATTACAATTATTTTTAAATACAATTTTAAATCAATTCCGCGAAAAATACAACTATTTTTAAAAAATTTAATAAAATTCTTTGAAAGAATTGAATTATTTTAAAAAATTTCAATTAAATTCTTTATAATAATTGAATTGTTTTCAATATAATTTTAATAAAATTTTTTGAAAGAATTCAATTATTTTCATAAATAATATACAATTTTCAAAGAAATTCAATTATTTAAAACACAATTTTCATAAAATTTTTTGAAAAAACTCATTTTTTTAAAAAGATTTTTTTTTAATTCTTCTCAACAATGCAATTATTTTTAAAAAAATTTTAATTAAATTCTTGGCTAAGTTTCAATTATTTTAAAGAATTTTAATAATATCCTTCGTTAAAATTCAATTATTTTTAAAAATTTAAGTAAATTCTGAGCAAGATTTCAATTATTTTCATAATTTATCAAACAATTTCACAGGAATTCAATTATTTAAAACAGAACTTTCCTAATATTTTTCGATAAAAATTAATTATTTTAATAGATTTTTATAAAATTCTTCGCAGAAATTCAATTATTTTAATGAATAATAAAATTTTTCTCAGGAATTAAATTATTTTAATAAATAATAAAATTCTTTTCAGGAATTCAATTATTTTTAACATAATTTTTAATTAATTCCGCTAAAAATGCAATTATTCTTAAAAATTTGAATAAAATTCTTCGAAAAAATGCAATTATTAAAAAAAAATTTGATATAGTTTGTTTCTTAGAGTGTAATAATTATTTTCAATTAATTTTAAATTATATTTCTTGAATGAATTTAATTATTATCAAAAATTTTAATGGAATTCTTCGCAAAAATCAATTATTTTCGAAAATGTTGATAAAGTTCTTTATAAGAATTCAAATTTAAGAAATATTCAATTATTCAGATAAATTATTTATTATTTAAATAATTGAATTCTCGTAGAACTTTCTAATAAGAATTGATTTAGAATTGAATAAAATAAAATAATTAAAGTTTTTGAATTTTGAAAGAATTACTTATTTGTAATTTTTAGAAATAGTTAAATTTCAAAAATGCGTCACATTGAATTCATTTGAAATATTTTCATTCCTGTCGACAAAATAATTAAGTATTTAAATATTTATTTAAAATAATTATTCTATTTTTGAATGTTATTAAAAAATTGTAAAATATTTGAGTAGGCAAGTTTAATTTTTCGTTAACTACTTGTTTTCTACTTTTTTTTCTTTCTTTAGGTTACTTTTTGCTACTTTTTTTAAAAAATTAATTATCTCGTACGAAGCCTTAATAATTAATCAATTATCGTTTAAGTAATGAAGAGAAAAGTTTTGAATAAGTGATTTGAAACTTGTGGTGTTGAGAAGAGGAAAAGTTTGAATTGTCATAACTTGAGAATAAAAGATGTTTGACAATTTCTTTTTCACACCTAAAATCAGGGATTCCAGCAGCTGTACTAATGCCAGCTCCTGTGTGAACGACAACATGCCGTGCACCTTTAATCCAATCGGCAAGAAGATCACACTTGAGTCGAAGTGTTTCTTGAGTGTCGTATTTCTGTGAATAAAAACAAAACACACGGCAATTAATGAATGACATTCAAATTTCTCTTTTCCATATTATTTTGGCTATTAATTTAGAAAGAAAAAATAAAAAAAATGATCAATTGTACCTCCTCTAAGCCTAATACGCCTTTGTTCTCGTAGGGCGACAAGCCATCCGCATAAGTACATGACATTTCACTCAAGTTTTACCCGAGTTTTCCCCAGGGCGCGATATCAGCGATATTATTTGAATTCACTTTATGCCGCAGATATGTTACTTTTATTATTTTTCAAATTATGATATCAAATTAAATAATCGCAATCAACAGGAAGTTATACACTTTTGAGAAAACAAAACTGTAGGAAACTTGTTGCAAAACGGTTGAGTTCGAAACATGAGCGCATAAACAATCAAAAGATAAACACTTGTAGTTTGTTTTTTATTAATTTCTTTCCTTCCGAGGGAGATTAACGAGCCAACAGCGGCTTTAGTTGTTAGCGTCTACGCACGCGTTTCGGAGCGGCTTCGTTCTGCTTTTAGAGGCTCGTAAAATTGACAATTACGAACAAAATCACTAGTTGATGATTATTGTAAACACCGTCAGGGTTTGAGAACCCGTTAAATTCACTAAAAAAACTAACTAATTTTACTGTTCTGTAAACAATTGAATGTTTCTAAACAATTAATTACGTTATTCTTGATATTAACCACAATTTTTTGCTTAAAAAATTCTCAATTTTTTCTCTTTCTCAATAATTTGGTGGGTTATTTGAGGTTAGAGTCGAGTGACACTTTTGTCCATGGGGATGAAATTCTGTCCTTATTATCCCTTAGCGTCGGTGCAACAGAAGAATAAGAAAAAATCGACAAAGTGTCATTTTTTGTAGGTTATGAATGCAATAATATTTTTATTGTTATAATAACCGCATCACATGTAAGTATCAAATTTTCAATTTGGGAATTTTTTTCAGTATCTAATTGTGTTCTAAAATCATTTTTCCGAATCTAAAAGTGTTATTAAAGTGATAAGATTCGGTCAAAAGGGACAATTACTTGGAAATTCGAGTCAATGGCGATTTACATTTTTAATTATCAAAATTTTTTTCCGAATTATCAATTTTCAGTTATTAATTAAAGACAATGTTTTATGTAAAAATTGATAGTTTCGTTGAGAATGGATATTAATTAGGTTGTTAATTAGTTATAATCGGGTTAATGACAATAATGTGTCATCTCTTTTGTTATGAAATTGTCAAGTCCACGTGAACTTTTTTTTAATCTCGAGAATATTTGAGTTGATTCAAAACAAAAATTTGTTATTAATTTTTTATTAATAAATAGGTAAAAATAATTTTTTAAAATAGTGTCGAGAATTTTTGTGTTTGATTTAAAAACAGAAATTAAATTGAAAATTAAATTAAATTGATTTTAAAAACAGATGGAATTTATTATTGATTTTTATGAATAATTATGTAAAAATAATTTTTTTAAAATAGTAATTTTTGTATCGATTCAAAACAAATAGACGGAATTTGTTATTGATTTTTATTAATAAAATGTGTAAAAATAATTTTTTAAAATAGTGTTTAAAAATATGAAGTTAGATTTTTTGAGTCTTAAAATTTGATTTGAATTTCTAAATAGTTGTCGTTATGGAAAGATAGAAATTATTTAAGATCTGAACTTTAATAATTAATAAATGTGAATTTTTTTCAGTTAATTCCAATTGAGAAGAAATTTTAGAATTGGAACTTGAAATTTCCGATAAAGATGACCGTTGATGGAGCAACTGGTAGTGAACAGGTAATTTTTGCCACTGGAAGTTACGATCATACAATTAAAATTTGGCAAGCTCATTCTGGACATTGTCTACGAACTGTTCAACACACTGAATCTGTATCCTTTTTGAAAAAGAATCGATTTTCTAAAAAAAAAACAATGAAAATCAAAAAGCGATTCAAAAGCAAAATAGATAGAAAATCGAAATTAAAAAAAAAAATTTTTTCTTAACTATTAATAATTATTAAATAGCAAGTTAATGCTTTAGATATAACACCGGACAAGTATGTTATCGCAGCAGCTGGTTATCAACACATTCGAATGTATGATTTAGGATCGAATAATCCTAATCCAGTTATTAATTACGAAGGAGTTACGAAGAATGTCACTGGCTTGGGCTTTCAGGTAATAAAACTTCTTTATACAAATCATCAATTTTTAATTTTTTTTTTTGAACTATAATTCTTTTCTTTCTAATTTTTCTAATTTTTTTTCTTTAAATAAAGTCAGAAAATTACATTTTTTTTAAATTAATATTCCTCGTGTTTTTAATTTTCCAGGGCGAAGGGAAATGGATGTACACAGGAGGAGAAGATTGCTCTGCTCGAATTTGGGACTTGAGGTACGTATAGAGAGCAATTCCTCACGTCAATTATGAATTTATGAACCAATTATAAAAAACTACCACAAATTTAATGTTTTTTACTATATGTTTTGTTAAAATTTTGAAATATTAATTTTAAAGTACTGACAAATTTTTTTTTTGTAATTCAATTAATCAGAAAAATTAACATATATTTTTTACGATATGTTTTGTTAAAATTTAAAAATATTAATTTTAAAGTACTGAAAAAATTTTTTTTGTATTTCAGAGCCAGTAGTTTTCAATGCCAGAGGATATTTCAAGTATCAGCGCCTGTAAATTGTGTATGTCTTCATCCTAATCAAGCGGAATTGATTGTCGGCGATCAGAGTGGATTAATACATTTATGGGACTTACGCTCAGATCACAATGAACAATTGGTAATTAATCTTATGAATATTATTATAAAAATATTTTTTTTTCTCTCTCGTTGAAATTAAATTAATTCGGAAAAAATAACAAAAATTAATTAAATCACATTATTTTCAATTAAAAGTATTTCTTTTATAATTTTCAATTTTGAAAAAAATTGAATTCTTGGAAAGGAAAAATTAATTGTTGAAATCTTGCTAAGAAACTAAAATATTTCAAAATAATTGAATTTCTGCTATGAATTTTATTATTTAGAAAAAGAATTAAATTTGTATTGAAAATTTTTGAAATTTTTCAAAATAATAAAATTTTTGTGTAGATTTTTATTAAAATTCTATAAAATAATTAAATTCCTGCGAAGAATTTGATTAATTATAAAAATAATTCAATTTTCATAAATAATTTCATCAAAATTTTTCAAAGAAATTGAATTTCTGTAAAAAATTATATATTAAAATTATTTAAAATAATTAAATTCTTGCGAAAAATGTTATAAATTATATAAATGAAATCTTGCAACGAATTCTATTAAAATTTTCGAAAATAATTGAATTTTTTGGAGAAATTTAATTAAAATTGTATTGTATTGAATTAAATTGCAATAAAAATATTTTAATTCTCATGAAAAATTTAATAAAAATTTTTTTAAACAATTGAATTTAATTTTTTTAAATAATTGAATTTTTGCGATGAATTTTATAAAATTTTGAAAAAATAATTGAATTCTTTGAGAAATTTTATTGTCATTGTATTGAAAATAATTGAATTCTTGACAAAAATTATATTAGAATTTTTGAAATTAAAAAATAATTTTAATTACTTAGTAAATTAGTTAATAGTTGAATTTTAAAATCTTAAATTATTCCAAAATGTGAAATTAATATTTGAATAAAAAATTTTTTTTAATTTGCATATTAACTATTTATAGGAGAATTATTTGTATGAAAATTAAAAGGGAATTAGCGAAATTATAAACGAATTATTTTTAAGAGTTTTATTTATAAATAAATTGAATTAATTTAAATTTGAAAGAAATATGTATAAATTTAACAGATTCCCGAAGCAGAGGCGTCAATACAAGACATAGCAATTGATCCAGAAGGAATTTACATGGCGGCTGTAAATAATAAAGGTCATTGCTTCGTTTGGGCTTTGACCGGTGGAATTGAAGAAGAACCAACTCGACTTAATCCTCGTCATAAACTCGAAGCTCATAAACGTTATGCACTTCGATGTAAATTTAGTCCGGATTCGACGTAAGAACTAAAGAAGAAATACAAAATATTTTAGCTAGATTAATTTTCATTAGAATATTAAAAATTAATTTTCCCCAGAATGTTCTTTCCATTCTGGAAATAATTTTCCGAAATGGAATGAATTTTCTTTACAGTACTGGAAATAATTTTATAATTTAATTTTTAATTTTCAGAATAATATTTTATTTTTGTAGTTTAATTTCTAAATGAAAAATGATTTATTTCAGTCTTCTTGTGACGACGTCCGCCGATCAAACTGCTCGCGTTTGGAAGACCATGGACTTTTCTGAGGTTCAAGTTCTTCAACACGAGGCCAAACGTTGGGTCTGGGATGCATCGTTTAGTGGCGATTCTCAATATGTTTTCACTGGTAATTATCAGAAAAAAAATTTTCATTCTTTGTGGAATTAAATTGAATCTCTAATAATTTTCAATGTCATTTTTCAGCATCTTCAGATGGAGTTGCAAGACTTTGGAATATTGCAACTGGCACAGTAGAAAGAAAATATGAGGGTCACCAAAAAGCCATTACTGCCCTCGCATTTCGGGACGAACTTCCATCAGCAAGTTAGATTTTTATTTTTTTATTTATTAATTTAATTTAATTTAATTACGGCAAGTTAATCATTAAATTATGATAGTCATTAGCTAATGCTAATCATTAGATGATCATAAGATGAGACGCGCTCATATGATAAAAATTAGTTAATAATAATCATTAATTAATGATCAACCCCCCCTTTCAAGTTGAATTAAATAGATCAACTATTTAAATCCAGTCAAATTAGAATTTCAGAAAGTTTTTTTTAAATCGTCACGAATTTTATTTTTTTTCCTTCTTCTATCTATTATGTACATAAAGTGCTACGCAATAACAAATACGAAACAAATATTAATGTGCAGTGAAATTTATCTAAACCTAAATTTTACGTATAGCATTATTATCAATAAAAAGCATTATTTTCACTAAAGTATATAATGCAATTTTCCCTTTTTTTGCTTCGTTAAAAACTTATAATATTATAAGAAATTTGTCAAAAATGTTTACATATATATATTCTTGAAATATATGTAACAATAAATGCAAATATTTAATACTTGTAATTTTAATAACGATTTTATTATTATTTTTTTTTTTATTATATTACTCTCGCAGATTCATTCTATGTTTATTATTCGTTAAAAGTTACCAGTCTTAAAATAGATTCATACGCTTCAATAATTCTTTGTAGCATCTAACATGTAAATAAAATTTTAAAACATTTTTTTGGATACAATTTTCCATTTCTCTTGACTCTTTTTTTTTTGAATTGATCACAATATTTAGCTTTATCTTTTTTTCTTAGTTAAATAGAATAATAATAATTTTCAAGTGTAATTTGCGCACTTGGTTTTTTTGTAAATTATTAGATGATTGGTAATCTATCGACCTCTCCCATTTCAGTTATCGTCTCACCGTCCATTGTGTAGCTTAGCATAAATTTTAGTGACAGTGTTTCCTGAAAGTTGAAAATCGACCATTAGATATTGTTTAAAGATTGGATGTTTAAAAAATTGGGATGAAATTCAAACACTAATGGGAAAAGAAAAAAATTAAATAAAATTTAAGCGAACAATATAAATATATAAAATATTAATATTCTTTTTTATACTTTCAGGGTTGCCACAAAAATTAAATTTTGTTTTCCACTCACTATTCCCTGATTTAAAGAAATATTTTCTAACTTTTTTAAAATTCAAGAACTTAGAAAAATATTGTTTATAAAACATGACCGAGTGATAAAATCATTATTTTATATTATAAGAATATTTTTGCTGTAAATTCTTCAAAATTATTTTCATCATTTCAATTGAATTAATATTTTCTAGAATGTAAAAATCTACAATTAAACTTAAAAAAAAAATGAATTCTACAGAATTGTTAGTTAAAAATATTTCAAACATTTTAATAAAATTCTCAGCAAGAATTCAATTATTTTCGCGAAATAATAAAAATTTTCGAAAGAATTCAATTATTTTTAGAGGTTGTAATTATGATAATAATTCAAATCTCATAAAGAATTTTATAAACAATTTTTTAAATAATTGAATTTTTACGATGAATTTTAACGAAAATTTCAAGAATAATTATATTTTTCGAGGAATTCGATAAAAATTGTATTAAAAATAATTTAAATTCTGCGATGAGTTATATTATACATGTAAATAATTGAATTACTATAAAAAGAATTTTATTATTTATGATTCTTATAAAATTCTTTATAAGAAATCAATTATTTTTAAAAATTGTAATAAAATACTTTGTAAGAATTCAATGATTTAAAAAAATTTTAATAAAATTCTCATCAACAATTCAATGATTTTAAAAATTTTAATAAAATTCACAGCAAGAATTCAATTACTTACAGAAATAATAAAATTCTTTGAAAGAATTCAATTATTATGTTTAGAAATTTTAATAAAATTCTAAATAAGAATTAATTATTTTCAGAAATCTTAAAATTCTTGGAAAATTTTAGTCAAAATTTTTGAAAATAATTTAATTTTTGCGAAGAATTATATCAAATTATTTAAAAATAATTGAGTTCTTTTTAGAAAATTATTAAAAATAATTGAAATTTCGCTAAGAAATTTGTAAAATTTTTAGAAAATAATTGAACTTCGGAAAAGAATTCTATTATTTATGTTTCTGATAAAATTCTTTATAAGAATTCAATTATTTGGAAAAATTTTAACAAAATTCACAGCAAGAATTCAATTAATTTCAGAAATCATAAAATTCTTGGAAAGAATTCAATTATTTTTAAAAATTGTAATAAAATTCTTTGTATGAATTCATTTATTTTTAAAATTTTAATAAAATTCTCAGCAAGAATTCAATTACTTTCAGAAATTATTATAAAATTCTTCTAAAGAATTCAATTATTTTTAGAAATTGCAATAAAATTCTTATATGTACAATATTCGATTATTTTTATTAAAATTTTACTAAAATTCTCAGCAAGAATTCAGTTATTTTTCGAAATAATAAAATTCTTTGAAAGAATTCAATTATTTTTATTAAAATTTTCTAAGAATTCGATTAAAATTGTATTAAAAATAATTGAAATTGTGCAAATGAGTTTTATAAATTTAAAAAAAAAATTGAATTGAATTGAATATTTCTTAAAACGAATTCATTCAAAGAATTTTAACCATAATCTTTTGAATAATTGAATTCTTTTGACGAATTTTAATAAAATTTTTAAGAATAATAACATTTTACGAGAAATTCAATTAAAATTGTATTAAAAATAATTGAAATTCTGCGATGAGTTTTATTATTTTTATGAAAATAATTGAATTCCTAAAAAGAATTTTATTATATTTTGAAAATAATTGAATCCCTGTAAAAAATTCTTGTTATTTATGAAAATAATGGAATAGTTGTGAAGAAATTTATAAAAAATTTATAAATAATTGAAGTTATGGAAAATTTCTATTATTTCGGAAAATAATTAAAAAATTTGCGTAGAATTTTATGAAATTTTTTTTTTTTAAATTGAATTCTTGTGGAAAATTTTATTAAAATAATAGATATTGAAAATCATTGAATTGAGGGAAATTTTTTTTTTGAAATATTTGAAATTTTGATAAGAATTTTATTAAAATTTTTGAAAATAATTGAATTTCGGAGAAGAATTTTATTATTTATAAATAGATAATTGTTGTTTGAATTATTAAAGTTTTTCAAAAATCTAAATTCTTTAAAATTGCTAATGAAATTCATCCAAAGATTGAAATTTTATAGAAATTAATAATTTTGAAGTTCATCTACTTATGAAAATTGTAAACTCAATTCTTTTAAAGTTCAATTATTTTTTGAAATATTAGTAACATTATTTTGTTTGAAATTTGTAAATATTAATTTTATGATAGTTGTTTAAGAATTGTGTTATTTAAAAAGAAATTATTGTTAGAAATATAAAAAATTGAAGGTAATTTCATAGTTTGTGAAAAAAAAAACAAAAAAAGGCACTATAATTCAGAATTTTTTTTTTAATTCTAATAATTAAATTTTTTCCAGTACTTTTAATGAAAATTCCGGATTTTTTCCCGATTTTCCTGAACTGTGGCAACCCTGAATTTGAAAAAAAAGGTTTATTATTATTAATTATATACCTTGAGAGGATTTGCAATTAGTGCAATTTGTGTGATTGCTGATGGAGGTAGAAATGGATTGTGAGCCGGAAGTTCCGTACCCGATGGTGGCTGAAGTCTACACTTGCATTTCTGAAAGTAGATGATAAAATATGATAAAAATATTTGCAAAAAATATTTGTAGAATATTTTCAGAACATTTTCAGAAAAATTTGACTGATTCGAAATATTCACCTTGGGCACTACAGCTTGAAATAAATAATTAGACAATGGTTTAGAATTTTTGCTCATTGTTGTAACGACAACGACAGATACATCCGCAGGTCGGGGACTATTTTTCGCAAAATGTAATACAACCGTAATTCCATTTTTCTCATCGATTACGGTTAATGGTGGAATTGATCCTGTAATTTAATTAATTAGTTAGTCACTCATTACTTAATTAATGTAAAATTCACGCAATTTTATTTGAATATTGTGATTTAGATTTAGACTTCGTTCTCGATGATTAATTTTTTTTTTTTAAATAGCAAAAAGTAGCTTTAGGACTGAAAAAAGTCGTACCAGGTTTAATATTTTCCAATGAAACGGAAATATCTCCTAAGGGTTTAATTTCAACCTCATTATTAACAGACAACAATGGAATATCATTGTCTTCCTTTTCTTCTTTTTCTTCTCTCACTTTATTCGTTATTTGATTATTAAGAAAATGAGATTCTGTATTATCGAAATTTTCGTCACCATTAAGTAACATTGGCACATCATTACTCGTAATTTCGCTTTTGGATTCAGAATCACTCTTCGATTTTGATTCATTTTCCAAAGATGAGTTTTGCAATTTTCCTGCTTCTTTCACTACATTGCAATTATTCGTTTGCATCGAATTTGTGAATGTTGATAATTTTTTTAAACTATTCATGGGTAATCGACTTGTTTCTTTGCTGAAAATAAAATAATTTTGGTTAAAAAAATAGTAAAAGAAATGAAAATTGCAATTTGTGATTAGAATTACCTTGAATTGTTAAAAGATGCTTTTATAGTGACATTTGACAGACTTTCCTTAAGTAAAGACTCTCCTAATTCGTTCAAATCGTCTAGAGCTTTCGTTTTACTGTCTCCTTTTGACTTGACAGTCACACTCTCAACTTGAATTAAAATACAAGATTTGTTTTTTTCCCTTCGCTTTTCTTATTAATTTTATTATTAAACAAAATTATAAAAATAAAGGAAAAGTCGCGCGTACCTTTCTCCAAAACTAGAATTCGGCATCAACTCTGAAAATTCTAATAAACTTGTTTTACTACTTTTTCTCTTTTATTTTGAATTAAAATCCCAGTTAGATAATGAAACGATTTTTTTTATTAGTTCATGCTCCTCTTTTTTTTTATCATGCTGAATAAATTTAATGGAGAAAGTTAAGCACGACGAAATGTTAATTTATGAAGTGTTAAAAAATATGGAATTAAAATAGTTTGTTTAATATTTTTTGATTTTTAGATAAATTAATAAACTGACCTGCTTTATTTGTTACAGCGATATTTATCGGTTGAATTGGTAAAGAAGGTAATAGTGGTGGTGTTTCAGGAACGTTACTTGAATTAGTTCCTAATGAATTGAAAATATCTCCTAAAATATCCATGTCTGTTTGTGCTGGTAAATTATTGCTCTCTGTTTCATTGGTTGTTGAATTATTATTCGAGGATATAATTTCATTTGGTGCTGAGAGATCCAATAATGAGGAATTATTTGTAATATTGGCATTCGAATTTTCTGTTGTTGGTCGATTGAGAACAAGAGTTGTCGCGTATTTGTCAAACACTTGATCTAATTCATCATTCGCCGCTAGTACTTCTTCTGTAGGTTTCAAATACGCAAAATTCAATAAACAGTTAAAATTAAATTTAATAAATAATTAAAAACTCAAATTTCAATAGAAAAAACATTACTCACTGAGCATATCTTCGTTATCTTGAATTTCGTTAGCGAGTCTTAAGATAATAGGTTTAAGACGTCCACATGCATCGTGTAATTCCTTCATTAATTCTAAATCTTCAGTATTTGTCTGGCCAGGTGTATAAGAATTTAGCATGTCCGCTAAAAGTCTAGCGTTACTGTGAACGGACTCCAATTCCATAATTCTTCGTGAATTCTGTTCGACTCTCTTCTCGTCCTAAACAGAAAGATAATATCAATTTTAACAAATATTTGAAAGAAACAATTAATTTACTGATTGATCCCTAATTAAAATTTTATTATTTATTCTGCACAAATTGTAAATTAATTGTTTCATCTGGAACAGCGATAAGTTTCTCTAGAATAGCGAAAGTCTTAAGGTCATGTTATTCAGTGGTCACGTGTTCCCATAGTGAAGTATATGGAGCACGTGACCACTGAATAACATGACCTTAATTGAAACAATTAAAAATTTATCTAATGTAATAAAATTTGTATTTGTTCCAAAATTTTTTTTTGCCTGTGTGCATTCAAAGTTATTTTTATATACATAAAATAAAAATACCTCTTTCACCATGGTTTTGATTAATTTATTTGCCGCTTGATAATCATCAGGATTTTTACTCTGCAGCAATTTTTGAAGAAGTTTCGATTTTTCTTCATCCTCGAAAATTTGACTCTTTGACTTGCCGGCTTTTGTTCCATCGATAATCGCGTTTGTTGATTGTAATAACTCCTCCTATTAGAAAAAAATTTCCATTTTTAGTTTCTTGTATTTTATTTTTTGGGATAAAAATAAAAATAATTAAAGTTGGGTTAATTCGATTCATTTTTCCCCCTCCGAAGGATGTTCACCTTGTCGTGGTGGAGGGGCTTTTCACTAAGAGACATCCAAACAGATAGATAGTAGAAAAATTTCAATATAACTTCAGAAAAGAGAAATATTTATTTATTGTCATTTTTAGTAGTTAGGGCAGTAGTCTCCTTTATAGGCTTTAAAAAATCGACTTTTTTTTTGGTCTTAAATCTATTCTAAAATTATCCAAGAATATGTCATTCAGGGTGTCTAACGGTCAGGGAAGTCATGGAAAAATCAGGGAATTTTTTTGGTCAGGGAAAAGTCAGGGAATGTCAGAGAATTTCATTTAAAGTCGGGGAATTTTCTATAAATTTATAAAAAAAATCAAAATTTGTTGTTAATTAAAAATATTTTTAATCTAATAAAACTTAAAAAAATTTTATTACCATTTATTTCTATCATTAAATACTAATTTATTGTTAAATATGTCAGTTACCATATTTTTGGCCCAAGGAAGCAAAAATAAAATTAGAAAAAAGTCAGGGAATTTTTTTGTCAATCCTTGTTAGACACAAAATTCGAACGAAGCGTTCAATTCGCTTGTGTGACGCTTAAACCCAAAACACGTCAATTCCGGCTCTAAAATCGTCGAAATAGCGGCAAATTTGGCTGCAGGCATTTTTAACGAGTCCTATGCATCTGTGCTGACCACTATCCAGCTACTCGATATTGTTATTAAACTGCAGGCATTTTTAACAAGGCCTATGCATCTGTGCTGACCACTATCCAGCTACTCGATATTGTTATTAAACTGCAGGCATTTTTAACAAGGCCTATGCATCTGTACTGACCACTATCCAGCTACTCGATATTGTTATTGGGCAGCAATGCAAAAATTTTGCCGATAATATCGATGCGGAGCGCATAACGAGGGAAAACCGGCGCTCGTCATTTTCGAGCAAGGAGGCTCGGACAGCTCGACGAGAAGAAAATCTTCGACAAAATGAGTTCTTCGAGGAAGAGGAAGGACTACTATATGTTCCAGGAATAGCTGATTAAAATTTAATTAGTGTAAGTATCCTAAAAATTGTATTTTTTGGACCTAAAACTTTAAATCGCTTTTTCTCGAATTTTCATTTTCACACGTCATAGAAAACGGTGCGCCGGTGATAGCAAAAAGAATTTTTGTCCGATTGAAAAAAAACCAAAGTGTTCTCGCTTCAGTATTAAATTATCTTCTATTTGAACTAAAGTAGTTGGACAAAAGTATTATTTAAACTATTTTTTTTTGCACCTTAAAGTGAATTTTTTTATTTAAAACAGTGAACTTTTTTTTCAAACTTCAAAAAATTTGGAATTTTTTAATTTCTTGGGTATTTTTCTAGTTCAAATAGAAAAGACACTTATAAAAAGTAAAAAAAAAAATTGTTTTGACTTTTTCAGATGCATCGTACGACCTCCATCACCGATACCGATTTAAAAATACATTCTGCAGCGATCCACAAAAATCGTTGTTACTAAGAATTTTTTTTTTTTTTTTAAATAAAAGTTGGTTTTTTAAGCTCAAATACAGTAGAATATCACCCAAAATTCAGATAAATTTTTAGTAAAACATTCAATTTTAGTTCAGGTTTGCCACAAGAAAGTAATTTTATTCCTCCCTGATTTCCAGACAGAATTAAATTAAATTATTTAAATAAATTATTTTCACAAATTTTTCGTAATTCAATGACTTTTAATATCTACTATTTTAATAGAAAAAATTCCTAAAAGAATTTAATAATTTAAAAAAAAAAATTTTATAAAATTCTTCGCAAACATTCAATTATTTGCATAAATAAAAAAAATTTTCACAGGAATTCAATTATTTAAAACAGAATGTTCCTAAAAAATTAAAATTAAAATTATTATAATAATCGTTGCAAGAATTCAATTATTTTCATGAATAATAAAACTCATCGCAGGATTTCAATTATTTTTAATATAATTTTAAATTAATTTCGCGAAAAATGCAACTATTCTTTAAAAATTTAATGAAATTCTTCTCCGAAATTCAGTTATTTAAAAAAATTTTAATGAAATTCTTTATAATATATGAATTATTTTCAATATACTTTTAATAAAATTATCTTCGTAAAAATTTAATTATTTTAAAAAATGAAGATAAAGTTCTTTATACCTAAGAATTTAAATTTAAGAAATATTCAATTCTAAAATTATTTATTTTTGTTTATGAAAACTTTTTTGAGAAATAATTTTTAGTAATAGTTTGTCGACAGATTTTCAAAATTAAATTATTTAAAATAAATTCAATTTCAAATCTGTAAAGTTCTAGTTTTTGTTATTGAAATAGAAAGAATTTTTAAAATTAAATTAAATCTTTTTTTAAGTTTGCTGGTCAACAAAATTCAGAATTTTCTTATGAATTTTAAAAATTGAATATTTTTCCACTACTTTTGATAAAATTTCCTAACTTTTTCCTGATCAATTTCATTTTCTTTTTTATTTCTTCTGACTTGTGGCAACCCAGTATTTTTTGTTAAAAAACCAAAATAAGTGAAACCAGCCACTTGAAAAACTGACACTCCGTTCAATCGTCTTGGGAAGGACGACAGAGGATCAACAGAGGATTATGAGCTATTCTGGTCATTGCCGAATTCAATACGTGGCCCCCAGCAAAGAAATCCAATTGAGATTCGACGAAACTAAGAAAGTGAGTGATAAGAGATTCTATCGAATTTTGTCTAAATTTTTTTTATCAATTTCTATTTGAATTTTAATCAATCAATCTATCAACGTTTTACTATTTGTAAAAAAAAATAAAAAATTACATTTTCAACATTTTGAATTTTTTAAATCTGACTTCAGATTCGTAATCAGCGAAAAGGTAAAAATGCTATAAAGAATTACTTAAAGAACAGGTAAAGAAATAATTTTTGAAAATCGAAAAAAATGCATTAAATTTGAAAAGTAAAGAAAACAAACCTTCACTACGCCCTGTTTTTTAAGCATTTCAAAGGCCTCCTTTATCTTTATCTCCCTTGGATAATCAATGGTCCATGTGTATAATAATTCCAGCACTTTTTCACGTACAGCAACTGGAGTTGAATTGCCAAGATATTTTGGCGACACGAGTTTTATCAGTTCATTTAGAAATCGAAATTTTCCAACTTCCGCGTGAAATAGACTTCCACAACGTCTCATACATGTGTCTAAAAGCTGAAAATTATAAATTACAATTATTATATAATTTATATAATTACAAAAAATTTGATAATAATTTAATTCCTTTGAAGAATGTTATTATTTATGAAAATAATTGAATTCTCGCGAAGAATTTTATGGAAATTTTTCACAATCCTAATTAAATTCTTTTAAAGAATTTCATTGAATTTTTTTTTTAATAAAAAAATAAATAAGAATAATAAAAAATAAAAATTTTGTAGTAATTTTAATTGAAAATTTTGAAAGTAATTGAATTTTATGAATAATTTCTTTCAAATTTTTAAAATAATCGTATTTCTTAATAATTGAAATTAAACATTTATTGAATTTTATTAAAATTTTTAGAAAACAATTAAATACTTCTCATAATTATATTACAATTTTCTAAAATAATTTAATTCTTCTCAGAATTTTATTACAATTTTCTAAAATAATTTAATTCTTCTCGGAATGTTATTACAATTTTCTAAAATAATTTAATTCATTCAAGGAATTTCATTAAAATATAAAAAATACAAATTAAATTCTTTCGAAGAGTTGACACTATTAAAGGTTTTGATAATAATTGAATTCTTTCAAAAAATGTTTTTAATTTTTTTAATATAATCGATTTTGTTAATAATTGTAATTAATAATTTTACTATTAAAATTTTTTTTTCAATTATTGATAGAAAATTAAACTTTTTTAAACAATTTTATTAGAGTTTTTGTAAATAATTAAATTCTCTTGAAGAATTTCTTAATTTTTTTTAAATAATGTAGTTTTTTGAATAATTTTAATTGGAAATTTTGACAATAATTGAATTAAACAAAGAGTTTTTTTCAAAATATTAAAATAATCGTGTCTGTTAATAATTACAATTAAATATTTGATTATTGAAGTTTATTAAAATTGAAGAATTTTATTATTTATAAAAATTAATTTGATTCTTACGATGAATTTTACTACTTTAAAAAAAATTGAATTGTTTCGCAGTATTTATTTAAATTTTAGAAAATTGAATTTTTTCAAAAAATATTATTAAATTTTTTTTTTGAAATTGAATTTTTTCTAGAAATTTTATTAAAATTGTATTAAAAGTAATTAAATTTTTGCATAGAATTCTACTATTTGTAAAAATAATCGAATTTGTTTGGGAGGATTAATTACAATGTTAGAAAATAATTGAATTCTTTTTAAAACTTTTATAACGAATTAAGAAAAAAATTCAATTCTTTCGTGAAATTTTCTTGAAAATATTTGAATTTTGGCAAAGAATATTTATAAAAGATAATTGAATTGTTTCAATGGATTTATTAAAATTATTAGAAAATAATTGAATTCTTTCGTAAAATTGTATCCACATTTTTTTGAAAACATTTGAATTTTTGGCAAAGAATTTGACTATTAATAAAAATAATTGAATTTTTTTTTGTTGATTTCATTATAATTTTAGAAAATAATTGAATTCTTTTTAAAACTTTTGTGACGAATTAAGAAAAAAATTCAATTCTTTCGTAAAATTGTATCACAATTTTGTTGAAAATTTTGTTGAATTTTTTTAAAAAAATTGTACTATTTATAAGAATAATTGATTTTTTTTTGAAGATTTTATGACAATTTTAGAAAATAATGGAATACTTTTTAAAACTTTTATAACGAATTAAGAAAAAAAATTCAATTCTTTCGTGAAATTTTGTTGAAAATAATTTAATTTTAGCAAAGACTATTTATAAAAGATAATTGAATTGTTTCAATGGATTTATTAAAATTTTAGAAAATAATTGAGTTCTTGCGAAGAATTACCATTGAAATTTTAGAAAATATAAACAATAATAATTAATTATTTACTTAATAAGTGAATTTAAAAAAAATTTTTTTGTTTTGATTTTTAAAAATTTAAATTTGAAAATAAAAAATGAAATATTTTAACACCAAAATGGATTAAAATAATCTGCAAAGCTTTAATTCATCAGGGATTAAAATAATCCATCTAAAGATTATTTTTTCAAAATGTTTTATTTTTTTAAATTTTGTTGTGAAACATTTTTCACAACAGAATGAATTTCTAATTTTTAAAAAATTGAAAAATAATTAGTCTTTCTCTATTTTTTTTTTAAATCAAAAGTTCGTTTTCTTGTGGAGAGTTTTCAATTTATCTAAAGTTTCATATTGAATTTATATATTAAAGTATTGTTCAAATTTTCAAAAGAAAAAAGAAATTGATATTATTTCTGAAACTGTTCATTTTATCAAAATTTTTATTTGATTTCATCATCAAATAAAAAAATTTGTCCTCTGCATTGCGATCAATCCAACGATAACAAATTTACATTAGAATTAGAAATTCGTGACAGAAAATAAATTCTTTTTTCACAATCATAAAAGAATAGTTATACCGAAAGTGCTTGTAATGCCTCCCATTCGCTGGTTGATTCAACAATATGAGTTGCCAAAAGTTTACCAGCAATGTGTACACCTTCAGTTTCTTTTAAAATCGTTACACAAAACGCCTCGATAGCAGCAATATCAGGTTTTTGTGGATTTTGTGGATTCGTTACTCTCTCTAAAAATTACCACAAAAAGAAGACGAAAATATTAGTGTAAATTTAATACAAATGCAAATTCTCAAAACTGATAAAAAAAAAAAGAATGAAATGATAAAAATATCTGCAATGAAATATAGAAATTCAGATATGACGAACAAATCAAAATATTTTGATAACTTCATTTTGATGATGTTTCTTTTTTTATTTCTTTTTTTTAGAGAATAATATTAAGACTCACGAATTAGAGCTTCGAGACTTGTTGTTACCACATCCATGGTTATTATTTTCTATTTTAGCATTTTTTTTTTCGTTTATTTTGAAAGAAATTGACAGTTCACAGCAGCTTGCGATTATTCTCCATTGCTTGTGAAACGTAAATGACGATAAAACAGCTTCTCTGTAATGCCGACTGGGAATGGTAATGATAATTTCTTCTTATCGATTGGAAAAAGTTACCTACAAATGGTTAGAAAAAAAATTTTGTTTGACCTATTGTCGATGAAAGAGAAAACTGTTAAAATTTTAGTTAAATTTCTGAATTATTGACTGATGGTTCGTTTCATTTTTAGGGGTTCGAAAATTTGAACTATAACTAGTTTTTAATATTCAATAAGTCATCTTTACAAATTTCAAATTAGAAATATTTTTTTTAAGTTTTAGATAATTGAATTTTTCATTATTAGGTCAATCCACTGACCTTTTTGAATAACATTTTTTATAATTATTAAAATTAGATTTTTTAAAAATATTGTCGCAATGACTTTCAGACGAATGTCAGTGGATTGACCCTATTATTATTATTAATGCCTTTTTTATTATTTATTATTACTAATTATTTTTATTATTATTTTATTATTTTTAGTTATTATTTTTATTAAATTACGTTTTCTTTTTTGTTATCAGTGTTCTCTTGACTTGTGGAAAAATTCTCTAACTGGATGGGAATCGGCGAGTGTTCTTCAGCTTCTTCAGTTCTTCACATGGAAGTGGTAAGTTTTTTTTAATTTTAACGCAAAAATTTAAAAATAATTTCAATACTTATTTTTTTTTATTATTCAATTATTTTTAAAAGTAATAAAATTCTTCCAAAAAATTTAATTACGTTCAAAAATTTAAAATAAAATTCTTGTCAAAATTTTAATTATCTTCAGAAATAATAAAATTTTTCTCCAAAATTCAATTATTTTCATAAATTTTAATAAAATTCCTTGCAAAATAGGTATCAATAATTTTCAAAAATTTTCCTCAATTCAATGATTTTCAATATCTGCTATTTTAATAAAAATTTTCCAAAAGAATTTTAATAAAATTCTACGCAAACATTTAATTATTTTTGTAAAATAATAAAAATTTCATAGGAATTTATTTATTTACAAATTTTTTAAATAAATTTCTTCGCAATAATTTAATTATTTTCATAAATAATAAAACTCATTGCAGAATTTCAATTATTTTTAAAACAATATTTCAATCTAATTTTTTGAAAAATTTTGATAAAATTTCAATTATTTTCCAAAACTTTTCTCAATTTCAATGATTTTCAATATCAACTATCTTAATAAAATTTTCCAAAAAACTTTAATTATTTAAAAATAATTTTAGTAAAATTCTATGCAAACATTTAATTATTTTCCATATTTAATAAAATAATAAAAATTTCACAGAAATTCAATTATTTACAAATTTTTTTAAAAACTTCAATTATTTTCATAAATAATAAAACGCATCGAAGAATTTCAATTATTTTTAATACTATTTTACATTAATAATCGAAAAATTTAATTATTTTTACAATTAAATAGTTTTTTTACAAGAATTCAATTATTCAAAATAAAATTTTCTTAATATTTATTATATTTCGAAAAAATTAATTATTAAGAACAATTGTTTATAAAGTTCTTATAAAGAATTCAATTATTTTCAAAAATAACAAAATTTTTTTCCAGAAATTCAATTCTTTTTAAAGATTTTAATAAAATTTTTTCGCAATAATTCAATTATTGTCATAAATAATAAAATTCTTCTCAGAAATTCAATTATTTTTGGAAAATTTTAATAAAATTCTTTGCGATTACATCATTTATTTTTATAAATAAAATAACTCATCGCAGAATTTCAACTATTTTTAATACAATTTTAATCCAATTCCTCAAAAAATGTTATAATTCTTAAAAATGTTATTAAAACTCGTTGAAAAAATGCAATTATTTAAAAATTTTGTTGATAAAATTCTTTATGAGAATTCAGTTTTAAGAAACATTGAATTTTCTGTAAATTATTTATTTTTGTATTTAAATAATTGAATTCTCGTAGAATTTTCTAATAAAAATTGATTTAAAAATGAATTTCAATTAAAAACAAATGAATTTGAAAATTCTCTAAAAACTTTTTGAAAAAATAATTAAAAATAATGGATTTTTAGAAAAATTTTAGTTAAAAACACGAAAAAGAAATTTAATTTTGAAGAAGTTACAAATTATTGGAGAAATTCAATTGTTTTCAAGAGTAAGAGAATTCATCGCAGAAATTTAATCGTGTTGAAAAATAATAAAATTCTTCGTAAGAATTCAATTATTTTTATAAATCATAAAACTCATCGCAGAATTTCAATTATTTTTAGTACAATTTTAATTGAATTTTTTCGAAAAATTTAGTAAAATTTTAATAAAAATAATTGAACATTGTACTTAAGAATTTTATTACAATTTCTATAAATAATTTAATTTTTTCGAATAATTTTATAATTTCTAAAAATAATTGAATTCCTGCTGTGATAATTGTATTAAATTTTTTGAAAATAATTTAATTCTTATAAAGAATTTTATCAGATTCAAATAATAAAATTCTTTTTATAAATTTAATGATTTTTATAAATAATAAAACTTATTCCAGAATTTCAATTATTTTTAAAACAATTTTAATCAAATTTCTCGAAAAATTGAATTATTCCTAAAAATTTGTATTAAAATTCGTCGAAAAAATTCAATTATTTAAAAATTTTGTTAATAAAATTCTTTACGAGAATTGAATTTTAAGAAACATTCAATTCAATTATTTATTTTTGTATTTAAATAATTGAATTCTCGTAGAATTTTCTATTAAAGATTGATTTCAGTTAAAATTTTAGATAATAATTGAATATTAAAAGCAATATTGCGTATAAATATTGAGAAATAATTGAATTTTGAAATTAATTTTTTTGAAAAAGTTTAATTGAATTTTTCTTTGTATTATTTGAAATTTTTATTTTCTAATATATATTTAATTGAAGAATTCACGAATAATTGAAATTCGTAAAATTAAATATTGTAAACAAATGGATTTGAAAATTGTCAGAGAACTTTTTCGAAAATTAATCGATTTAATGAAGAATTTTAGTTAAAAATTCTTGAAAATAATAACTGAATTAAAATTATGAAAATAATTTTGATAAAGTACAATAGTCTTATAATAAAAAATAATGATTTTATTAATTCGCCATTTTTTTTTTTTTTTTTTTTTTTTTGAAGAAAGGTTTAAAGTGAAGCAAGTTGAAACATGTTTTTTTTATTTTTCTTGTATGTTAGTTTTAACTCCTTGTGGTTATTTAATTGAGTTGACATATGAATCTCTATCTGTTATTTATTGTTCTCTTTTTCTTCGAGGGTATCAGTTTTGTCGTAAGGAATTTTTAGGATTTCTTGTATGGTCAGAATGATACTCTACTCTTGTGGTAGGTTTGATATAATCAGATGTTTTTCCTTTCAAATAAATTTACAAAGAATTAAATTTTTTGTCAGCGTGTATTGTAATTTTTATTTAAGATTCAGGGAAAGTTAAATGAGCTTATAATCGTGCAAAAATAATTTTTATTCAGTTGTGATATCAATTACAATTATTTTAATTTTAATTTTTAATTTTAACTTGAAAGTATGTATCAAATTGCAACGAATGTCAAAAATGCAAAAATCATAAATTGTTCTAAATTTATCATTTGATATTAAAAGACATGAAAAAAATTTGTTCGGTTATAATTCTCGATGTACAACAAAGAATCAATAATTCTTAATCCTGATTTAAATAAGGTCCACGGGGAATCTTCACAGCTTCTCTCTCGGTTAATTCTTCGTTTAAATTCTCCTTTACATTATTAATAGACGTTACCTCAAAATTACCTTTCTTCTTTCGCCACGAACAAATTGACGAAACAATTGACAAAGTTTCATTTAAAAATGCATAGAGAAATGGATCAATTGTTGCATTTAAAAATGACAAGGTAGAAAAAAATGTTTGTAAATACCACCAAAAATTTCCCTCCAATCTCACGTGTAATTTAGCAAGTAAAAAAATCCAAAGTGGTAGTCGGCAAATTGCAAATACTATTATCAGGATCAGAATAATGTTGAGGGTTCTCTTTTTCCTTTGCATATGAATTGGTGGTGAAGAAGAATTTTTGGTGTAAATTTGTCTCGACGATGAATTTCCACTGTTCGATACTAAAAATAACAAAATTGGGAACAAAGAATTTACAAGAGAAAAGAGGTTCATTGAACAGAAAATGAAATGAAACCAAGTATATGAAAGGAGAATGCATGTGGGTGTGAATATATAGGAAGTTTGAGAACAGTTATTCACTGGGCATTAAACAAGACTTGTAATTGACTTTGAACTGCCAAACTTTGTTTTTGTAAACAAAACTGCTCGAATATACATCGTTTAACAGAGGATTTTTTTTTTTAATCAAAAATTTGAGAAAAGACCTCCCACTTAGATGTCGACTTTGTTGCTGTATTCATTTGTTTATTTTGTGCTGTTTCACATACTGACTTAGTGTATGGGATCTTTAAAAAAAGCTTTTTTTTTTTTGAAATTATTTGAAAATAATCCATATAGAAAGAATTAAAATCTCGTTATAATTATTCGGCTGTGATTCAGTTTTATAATCGGAGAAGTTAATCTAAAAATGGATTTTAATTCTTCTTGGTATGTAAATTTTACCTGCAATGCTTTTTAATTCTTTAAGAAACAAAAGAAAAAAGCAAACAACAAGAAAATAAGGAAAAGAAACTTTCTTTGTTTATCTTTATTATTTTCTTGTTGTTAGCTTGTTTTTTTTCTTGTTTCTTTTCTAAGTGGTTCTTTCTTAATTAATATTTCAAATTATTCCTTAAAATAACATGAAATGAGAGCGCATGTGAAATATTACCTATTGAAAGGGTATTTGACCGAGTTTCTTGAGATTTTCCCATGAGTCCTTTTCGGTGAGAAATATTTAGAGCGAGTAGTACGTGCACAATTACAAAAACTGTAGCCAGGGGAAGAAATATTGTAACGAAGAGCCAAGTGTATGCAGTCGCTGCCTTATTGATATTAAACGTCACGCACAATTTCCCTCTGTTTTTTTTTTTCAAAAAAAGGGTAATTATCATTTATCACTTCAAGACTGTTTAGAAATTTTTTTAAAAATGTTAATATTAATTGTTATTATTTTTTATTATTATTAGTAATTGACAAAAACGATGAATATCAGTTTTTTTGGTACAACAGTTTTAAAAGAAAGTAATGAAAATACTTGGGACCAAAATATACTTACTCGTAATAAGTTTCGTCATTAACAACAATCACTGACACGATTTCATAAATTTGTAGAATCGGATAAGAAGCTCCAATCGCAATTAGCCAAATTGAAATTACAAAAAGAATTGCAGATGTCCATTTTTGTCCTCTCATTGTTATAATATGTTTAGGTTTCATTGCTGCATATCTTGAAGAAGAAATAATTAAAATTTTCGGGCCTCGGACTCTTTTTTCGCATGTCTCATACAACTATTTAGTTACTATTTTTATAAATAAGTTACTTGTAGCATGCACTAATTTAGTTGGAAAAAGTCATTAATTAGTTTCTTAAGATGGAATTTTTAATGATTAATTTATTTACTGGGAAAAATTAATTCTAAGATTAAAAAAATTAAATGGGGTAAAAATATCGAAAAGGAAAGTAAACTAGAAATTGAAATCCATTTATATCAACTGTCAAACTCTCTAAATTTCATTAGTAATAATTATAGAATTGGGAATATTGACAAACATTTTGAGATTCAACATGGAGTCGCTATTCTCCACCTGAGAACGCCAAGGTCACCGCTAGATGGCAGTTTTTTTTTCTTGGAATTTCCCCCGCCACCTGGTGGTGACCTTGGCGTTCTCAGGTGGAGAAAGTAAATTAGCATTTTGTCCCTCAAAAACTTTTTTATAATTAAAATAACAGTATGAAAATAATAAAAATTCTGTTTTCAATTTTTTCTCTTGAATAGAAATCCAAATAATAATAATAAAGCTAAATGGCATAAAAGACAAGAAAAAATGTTGAATTTTAAGAAATTCGGTTTTTTGAATTTTTGATAATTTTCGATCATTTTAGATTTTTTACCAAAGAGTCGAGACTATTTAATAAGTAAAGTATTTTCCAAGAGCACAAAAATAAAAGAATTTTTAACTAAAATTCTTCATTAAATCGATTAATTTTCGAAAAAGTTCTCTGACAATTTTCAAAGTCCAATTTACAATATTCAATTTTACGAATTTCAATTATTCGTAAATTCTCCAATAAAATAATAATAATAATAATAATAAAAATAATGACAATACCGATCAATGGCAATGCCGGCGAGAGTCAATGATCCAACGAGAACAGCAACAGTTTGAATAAATGGTATTAATGAACATGACCAATCGGGAAGTATCCAAAGACGTTTACCGGTTTGTAGAAAACTCAGAGTATTTGCAGAAGAGCAGGACAGTAACAAAATATCCGAAAAAGCGTACGATAATAATGCCGAACGATAAAATGGTTTTAAAAATAATTTCCTTCCATTTGAGGATATTGAAATTCTCCATAAAACGCCTAAATTTGCAATAATTCCAATGATAACTATTGGCCAGATTACTGTTTGAAAAATGATTTTACTCTCCTTCTCAAAACAAATTAAAGAACTTTCATAAACTCCGTATATTGTTTTTAACATTTAAAAATATTTTTCTTTCGACAATATTAATAATAATTTAGAGAAATTGCCAACATTATAATATTTATAATATTAATACAAGTAATTATTTTTATTGGGTTCAAATTAATGTTAGGTAATAATATTATTTTCAACTTTAAATATTCTCAATTATTAGTTAAATTTGTCTTTAACATTTGGTTTCAAAGCTGACACCTCGGCTGACACTGAAATTAATAGAAACTAAATTTTCGTTTATAAATGTGAAATAATTTTTTAATTTCCCATGTGCTTGAGATAACATAATCTTTAAATAAATAATGCTTGTAAAACAATGGCAGATGGTGGATTTATAAAGAAAGAAGGTCAAAGAATGACATGATTTAATTTTGATTGTTTATATATATTTATAAAATGTACGTTGGACATTTGCAAAATTTATACATTAATCCAGTGTAATATTAGAATAAAATTACATTAAGTATTAAAATATTAAAATATAATAATATTACATTATAATATATTAATACAATATAGTGAAAAAATAATAAGTTCGTGAATGAAACAAGCTTGTGAAATAGATGATTAATTATAATCATTTTCTATTATAATTTTTTTGTAATTATGGTAATATTGTGATTTTTAATTATGATGATAAATAATGACGCTAATAATGACGATGATCTACTCTCTAAACTTGATTTAGTAAAATTTACAAATTCAAAAGCAAAAAGTCAGTCAATTATTCCAAACTGGTAAATTTCACTATACTAATATATTAGTAGAAATTACTATACTAATAATAATTTCTACTAATTTCTATTTTCTTACTAATTTTCTACTGATAAATTAGTAGAAAATACTATTTATTAGTAAAATTTAATAATTCAAAAGCAAAAAGTATTAATTTGACTGATAAATAGTAATTTCTACTAATTTATTAGTCAAAACCAATTTAAATTAGTGGCTGACTTTTTGTTTTTGAATTAGTAAATTTTACTATAATAAATAGTACCTAATTTCTACTAATTTATTAATTTAACAATTCGAATTAATGACTGACTTTTGTGCTTTTGAGTTAGTAAATTTTACTGATAAATTAGTAGAAATTACTATTTATTAGTACCTAAAATTTATTAATTCAAATTTAGAGATTAATGAATATTACTAATGATAATTTAATTAACATTATTAATGGTAATTCAATTAACATTATTAATTATGCTTGCTATTTTTCAAACTGTCTAAACGATTTTTTATTATTAAATAATTATAAATGATAATTTAATAAACGCATTAATAATGATAATTAAATTAGCAATATTAGTTATAATCTTTTATATCAAAATACAACATTTTACAGAAAAAAAAAAAAATATATTGAAATTATTTATATAAAGAATATTTAAATAAATAAATTTTTATTTAAAATTTTCGATTTAATTTGTCACATATTAATAACAGAGAGAAAATAAAGATTACATTAGAAATAGTCACTTTTAAAATCAGACGATCGGACCATCTTATTTAGTTTCCACTGTCTGACCTAGACTGTCTGTAACTACTGATTTTGTAAGCATCTGTATTTACAAAGATTTGTTTGTTTCTGCGCTTTTTTTTAAGAATGATAATAATAATAATAAAAATAATAATAATAAAAATAATAATAATAAAAATAGTAATAATAAAAATAGTAATAATAATATTAATAATAACAAAGTAATAATAATAAATTAATATCTAATTAAGTGCTTGTTTCACGAAATTAAAAAATCATTTTCAAAATCAGTCTGATTTTCATTCATTTCACTCACATACATCCAGTGAAAAATATTGCAAATGTTGATGATTGACTAAATATTTAGCCAATATTTTCGTCCAAGGCTTAAATGCTAATTTTTAAATTTAAATATTGTCTTTATTATTAACGTAATTTACTAATTCAAAAGCAAAAAGTCAGTTGATAATGTAAATTTAGTAATTTACATTTTTACTAATTCAAATTAAGAGAGTTCAATAATAATTTACAGTAAAAGAAATCTAATGAATTGATAAAATTCTAATTAAAAAATTTAATAAAATTATTTCTTTTTGTATGTTTCAGGAATCAAGTTGCCTCATCGAGATCGCAGCAATCGGTGAGTCACTCTCAGTAATATAGCGACACAATAAAATTTTTTATTTTATTTCTATGTAACGAGGAACAATTTGTTTTAGTAGAAACTGTTTTTTTTTTTTTTATAAAATTCAGCCAGAATTTTTGGCTTGAAATACATGTTAGTCAATTTTAGGTCTTAAAGTCAGCTTTTAAATTAAACATTTTTAATTAAATTTAAATTTTAAATTAAAGTCAGTATTTTCGACTAAATTATTAGTTGTTTTAGCCGAAACAGTTTTTATTTAAAATCAGGCAGAATTTGGGCTTAAAATATAAATGATCCAATTTTATGCCTTATATTATAATCAGCTTTTTAATTTGAAATTAAGTCAGTATTTTGATCGAAAGTATTAGATTGTTCTAGCAAAAAACAGTTTTTTCTTAAATTCAGACAATTTTCTAGCTTAAAATACAAATGAGTCAATATTATGTGTTAAAATCAGTATTTAAATTTGAAATTAAGTTAAAATTATAGCCTAAAGTGTAAGTTGTTTTAGCCAAAAAGTTTTTTCATTAAATTCAGCAAGTATTTGGAATTAAAATAAGTATTTTTTGCTTTTGAATTAATCGATTTTTACTAATAAATTTTACTAATCCAAAATCAAAAAGTAAATATTACTAATCAATACTAATTCCTAGCAATTTATTTGTAAAATTTACTATTTCAAAAGCAAAAATTTAATCTCTAATAAATAGTTATTTCTACTAAATTATTAGTAGAATTTTACTAATTTATTAGTGAAATTTACCATTCTAGTTAGCGACTGACTTTTTGCTATTGAATTAGTCAATTTCACTTAATAAGTCAGTAAAAATTGCAACTTGTTAGTAAAATGTTTACTAAATTGAATTAGAGACAAACTTTTTGCTTCTGAATTAGTAAATTTTACTAATAAATTAGTAGTAATTACTATTTATTGGTAAATTTTACTAATTCACAAACAAAACTATTTTCTCCAAACTTAAACTAGTAAAATTTTTTACTAATTTGAATTAGTGACCGACTTTGTGCTTTTGAATTAGTAAATTTTGCTAATAAATAGTAATTTCTACTAATTTATTAGTAAATTTTATTAATTCAAAATCATAAAGTAAATTTTACTAATGAAATAGTAATTTCTACTAATTTATTTGTCAAATTTACTAATAAATAGTAATTTCTACTAATTTATTAGTAAATTTTACTAGTTCAAAATCATAAAGTAAATTTTACTAATAAATATTAATTTCTACTAATTTATTAGTGAAATTTACCAATTTAAATTAGTGAATGACTTTTTGCATTTGGATTAGTAAATTTTACTACTAAATTAGTAGAAATTATTATTTTTCACTAAAATTCTTTCGCTAATATTGTTCCAATATTTAAATTCAATAGATTAGTTTCTACATTTTTTCAATCTTGAATCAATATTGGACAATATTTTATTTTATCCTACTGGGTAATGAAACATTCTTTCATTCATATATACAAAATATAGTCCAAACGTGCAAAAATAATTCTAATTATAGTAATATTTAATGACGATTATTATTCTAAAGGCTTATTTTATTCAAAGAAAGTAAATATTTCTTTTGTTGAAAGTTAAATAGATATCATCTTAATATAAATTATTTTTAATTATAAATTTTGCAACACGTGAACATATTTTTTGAAATTAATAGTATACAATATTTATTTGAAAAAATACTGCGTTTTAATAAAATATAATTTTCCACGTCATTTCTAAACTTAATTATGAGAATTGTCTTTTTGAAATAAGATTCTATATTAATGTATACATAATATAATGATAGATTAAAGTTAATGATAAATTACAAAACTATAAGTCTTATAAAATTTGGAACGAATAATGTTATGCATTTAAATAGAAAAATCTAGCCTCTACATTTACTTCAAATACTTGATTTAATGTGAATATTTGTCAAGGACTAAACACTTTTTTCTTTTAAAACAAAACAAAAAAAAAATTTCTAGACATGAATTAGAATTTTTATTGAACATTAAATGAAAACGCTTCATTTTTTTTTTTTTGAATGAAGAGTTTTTATTTAAATGAATTATATTTTCTATAATTCAGAAAAATTTCATGAATTTTTTCTCTTGTAATAAAAATATTTTCCTTCAAAGTAAATTTTTTGTCAGTTGCAAATTGAGATAAAAAACGATTAAAAAAATGTTGCGAAGCAACATTTTGATTGGATTTTTTTGTCGAAAATTTTAAAAAAGGGGAAAATATTTGATTACTGCGAGAAGGTAAATTTTACTATATCGGAGAAGTTTTCCTCTTATTGTGAGATTAGTTTCGTTCTGAGTGTAGAATTCGTTTATATGATAATTAGAATTCGAATAAAAAAAGCAGTCGGTTTAGTTAATTTTTTTTGTTGAAAATTGCTTTCATGGCAAACAGGAGCGTTTTGTTCGGACGCCAAGAAGGGGATATGATAGGTACTGCCCTTTGAGTTCAGCTGTAATTTGAACTAGATATTCCTTTCCTGGTTCAAGTTTTCTCACGGTGAATGGCAAAGCCCTTTCTTTGGAGATAGTGTTTTTTTCCTCGCACTCTTCGTATGCATATTCCGATCGTTTCCTTCGATTTAAACCACATTGATCGGGAAATGTAACACTCGATATTCCAATTGGTCCGTGTGCCTCACGTACTAGGACGCAATATTTCGCTGCTCCCGCTGGTTCAACGCCAACTGTCACTTGATGACATTTTCTCATTGATCGAAATTCCCATGGTACACTTTTTGATGATAGCTGTTTTTAATTAATTATTGATGACTATTATTAATTAATATCATAATATTATTAATTATACTAAATAACATTAATACCAAATATTATTTTATTACCAAATTTAGGACCAAATATTATTAATTATACTAAATAACATTAATACCAAATATTATTTTATTACCTTTAGGACCAAATATTATTAATTATACTAAATGATATTAATACCAAATATTATTAATTATACTAAACATAATTATTACCAAATATTATTAATATCAACTATTATTATTCCTAAATATTATTAATTATAAGGGCATCAGGAAAAATATTTAATTTATAGAATTCATAGAAAAATTCTTCAAAACAATTCAATTATTTCCAAAAAATTAAAAAAAAAAAAATTTCTAACGATATTCAATTATTTTAAATACAATTTTAATTAAACACGTCGAAAAAATTTGCAAGAATTCAATTATTTTCAGAAATAATAAAATTCTTCTAAAGAATTCAATTATTTTACAAAAATTTTGATAAAATTCTTTATAGGAATTCAATTATTTTACAAAAATTTTGATAAAATTTTTTATAGGAATTCAATTATTTTACAAAAATTATTTTGATAAAATTCTTCATAAGAATTCAATTATTTTTTTACATATAAAAATCGTGTCAGAAATTCAATTATTTTAAATAAATTTTTAAAAAATTCTTCGAAAAATACAATTATTTTACAAAAATTTTGATAAAATTCTTCATAAGAATTCAATTATTATTTTACATATAAAAATCTTGGCAGAAATTCAATTATTTTACAAAAATTTTGATAAAATTCTTCATAAGAATTTATTATTTTAAAAAATTTCGATAAAATTCTTCATAAGAATTCAATTATTTTTTTATATATAAAAATCGTGTCAGAAATTCAATTATTTTAAATAAATTTTTAAAAAATTCTTCGAAAAACACAATTATTTTACAAAAATTTTGATAAAATTCTTCATAAGAATTCAATTATTTTTTTACATATAAAAATCTTGGCAGAAATTCAATTATTTTACAAAAATTTTGATAAAATTCTTGATAAGAATTGAATTATTTTCAGAAATAATGAAATTTTTCGAAAGAATTGAATTATACTTTTAATAAATTTGAATAAACTTCTGTACAAGAATTGAATTATTTTCTTAAATATTTTCTTACATATAATAAAATTCTTTGCAGGAATTCAATTATCTTCAAAATAATTTTAAAAAAATTTCTTAAAAATATTCAATTATTTTCAAAAATTTTAATAAATTTAAAAAAAATTCTTCGAAAGAATTCAATTATTTTCAGAAATAATAAAATTCTTTTTATGAAACCATTATTTTCTCTCGAATGCCCTTAATTCCAACTATTATTAGAAATTGAAAATAAAATTCAATAAGATTAAAATATGATCTTTGTGTCTATTCATAAAATTAAAAATCGAAAATTTAATTTCACAATTAAAATTATTTGATTCGATCTTTATTTTGAGAATATTGAATTTTAAGATAAAAGTACAGTTCTTAATTTGAGATTTCATTTATGTTTTAAAAATGGACATTGATTTTTTTATTGGGAATTATTATTTTTGTATGTAGTATCAATTTCTGAATTGGAATCTATGTTTAAATTTTAGAACAACTATTTTAAAAAACTATTTTATTTATCTTATTTAAAAAATATTAATTTTCTTCTATTAAATATTAATTAATAGTGGTAGTAACTAATAATGTTAATAATAAATAATATCAGTAATCAACAAGTTTAATAATTAATAATTAATAATTAATATTAAAAGAATAGGTATGAATAAATCTGATCATTTTCAGAAATAAAAGTAAATATTTTATTTTTGAATTTAGAATATTATTTTCAATATTTACCTAAGTACTGGACGATATTTTCTTCTAAATTAAATTTTGAAATTTATTTTCAAAACAATTTTTTACCTCTGGATATGGAATGGAGCCTTCATCGGTCGCAAGAACTTTTATTAGCGATATTTTTTCGTGTGGAGTTGAAGAAACTCTTAGAGTATATTGTTTTCCTGGTGTCAATGGTGGTGCTTTTATTGCAGCGTGCCCAATTACTTCTGCGACCTAAATTCATAAATTCTTCTAGAGTTATAATAATAAGAAACGTAAACTTAATTAACTGAGTTTTATAAATTTTAATCAATTTTAACTAAATTTTGTAAAATTCAACTCTTTAAATTTGAAGTAGTAGAAATGTTTACTAATTTGAATAAGTGACTGACTTTTTGCTTTTGAATTAGTAAATTTTATTAATAAATATTAATTTCTATTAATTTATTAGTGAAATTTATTAATAAATAGTAATTTCTACTAATTTATTAGTAAATTTTATTAATTCAAAATAAAAAGGAAATTTTACTAATTAATACTAATTTTTACTAATTCAAAATCAAAAAGTAAATTTTACTAATAAATAGTAATTTCTACTAATTTGTTAGTGAAATTTACTAACACAAAAGAAAAAAGTAAATTTTACTAATAAATAGTCATTTCTACTAATTTTTTAGTAAAATTTACCAATTCAAACGCAAAAAGTTTGTCTCTAAATCCAGTTAGTAAAGATTTTACTAATAAATAGTTATTTATACTGAATTATTAGTAGTTTTACTAGTGAATAGTAATTTCCACTAATTTATTAGTGAAATTTACTAATAAATAGTAATTTCTACTAATTTATTAGTAAAGTTTACTAATTCAAAATCAAAAAGTAAATTTTACTAATTAATAGTAATTTCTACTAATTTATTTGTAAAGTTGACTAATTCAAATTTAGTAAACCCTATGTAATAGTTCTTTTACTAAAAATTAGTAGTTTTCTTCTAAAAATTAGTAAGATTTTTAATTGGTGAACGAATTTATTTACTATATTAATAACTTAGTAACTCTTTAATTAGTAAAACCGCTAATTTAGATTTAGGTAATAAAAAAATAATAAATATATTGTACCTGTGGAACAATGCCATTGGCTCTTAATTTTGCTGTAACAATCCCACCACCACATGGCAAAATGTGAAACATTGTTGTAGCATTTCCCAGCGGCATATATTGAAAATTAATTAATCCGTCACTTTTCTTCAAGTCCACAGTTGTATATCGTCCATTGAGTAAAGTTTGCGTTGGTGTTTTGCGAAATTTCAACATATCCGAGGCCACCAAATTTGAAACATTATTTCTCATATTCACCTAAAAATAGAATTTTACTAATTTTATTATTGAAACAAAACTATTTTATAGGTATATAAATTAGAAATTACTATATTTATACCAAATTTACTATTTTATATATTCAAATGAAAAAAAATAGTATTCAAATCATTTGCACAAATATTTTTACCATTAAATTTATGACTTTTTTTTCTAATTACAAAAAGGCTTTATTGTATTACGAATATAAAATTGTTTTTTGTTTCCCCGCTCTAAAGGAAACATAAATAGTTATGAATGAAACGCATGTATATTGTTTTGAAACGTTTTGCTACTGAAATTTGAAATAAGAAGAAAAGTGGTTGAGTCACTGACCACATATAGTGTAAAGTTGTAATTAGTGTTGTATTTCATTCCGTGAAGTGTCAGTTTCGTTTGACGTACGCAATGCAAGCCTTCCGGTACACCTCTATATTGCTGTTCTTGAAAAGAACTTCCTCTCGTGACGCGGGGACGATTTTGTAAAAAATTTTTCGCCGCACATAATGTTGAAGGGTGATATTGTGCTCCTGATGTTACCACTAAACAATAACTCGACAAATGGGAATCTTGGCTGTTGTGAAATTTTTGAAAAAAAAAAAATTAAATTAATCAAAACTTTTTATTCAGTTTTATGATACCTAAACTGTTTATATTGTAAAGGGTAAGTATTGTATTAAAAATATGATTTTATAAATATTTTTTGTTGTCTGTAAGAAGAAGTAATTGAAATATGTTAATGGATGCGATTTTTTAGTTTGACTTTGATTTTTGGTTGGAATTTGACTTTAAATTAGACTTGGACTGTTACTTTGACTTCAACTTTGACTTAAACTTTAACTTTAACTTTAACTTTAACTTTAACTTTAACTTTAACTTTAACTTTAACTTTAACTTTAACTTTAACTTTAACTTTAACTTTAACTTTAACTTTAACTTTAACTTTAACTTTAACTTTAACTTTAACTTTAACTTTAACTTTAACTTTAACTTTAACTTTAACTTTAACTTTAACTTTAACTTTAACTTTAACTTTAACTTTAACTTTAACTTTAACTTTAACTTTAACTTTAACTTTAACTTTAACTTTAACTTTAACTTTAACTTTAACTTTAACTTTAACTTTAACTTTAACTTTAACTTTAACTTTAACTTTAACTTTAACTTTAACTTTAACTTTAACTTTAACTTTAACTTTAACTTTAACTTTAACTTTAACTTTAACTTTAACTTTAACTTTGACTTTCATTTTGATAACGAAATTTAAAGTCAAAGTTAAAGTCAAATTTAGATTCAAAGTAAAATTGAAATTTAAAGGCAAAGTTAAAGTCAAAATTACAGTCAAATTTATGGTCGGAGTTAAGGTCAAAGTCAAATTTAGACTCACATCTTAAATTTAAAGTTAAAGTCGAAGTTCAAATCAAAATCTATGTCAAATTTTAAATGAAAGTAAAATTTAGAGTCAAAGTTAAAGTCAAAATCAATGTCAAAATTAATGTCAAATTTCGAGTCAAATTTAAAATATAAGTTGAAGTCGGAGTCAAAGTTACAGTTGACGTTAAATTTAGAGCCGAAGTTAAAGTCAAAATCAATGTCAAATTTATAGTCAAAGTTACAGTCAAAGTTAAATTAAGAGTTAAAGTCAAAATCAATGTCAAAATTTAGATTCAAATTTAATAGCAAAGTTAAAGTCAAAATTATTGTCGGTCGAAGTTAATGTCAAAGTCAAATTTAAATTGAAAGTCAAAATCTATGTCAAATTTAAAATCAAAGTTAAATTTAGAGTGAAAGTTTAAGCCAATATCAATGTCAAAATTAATGTTAAATTTAATCAAATTGAAATTTAGTGTCAAATTTAAAATTTAGAGTCCGATTTAAAATTAGAGTCAAATTTAAAATCAAAGTTAAAGTCAAAATCAATGTCAAAATTTAGATTCAAATTTAAAATCAAATTTAAAGTCAAATTTAAAGTTACAGTCAACGTTAAATTTAGAGTCAAAACACATGTTAAATTTAGAGTTAAATTTAAAATCAAAGTTAGAGTCGTAGTTAAAGTTACAGACTACGACTTTAACTTTGATTTTAATTTATTTTGAAATTAAAGTCAAATTAATTTTGACTCTAAATTTAACATTGACTCTAACTTTGACTTCGACTTTAACATTAATTTTAAATTTGAATTAGAATTTTGGCATTGATTTTGACTTTAATTAAAATTTTTAAATTTTCAATTAAATTTCTCAATCAACGTTACAGTCGAAGTTTATGTCAAAATCAATGTCAAAATTATAGTCAAATTTAAAATCAAAGTTTAAGTCGTAGTTTAAGTTAAAGTTAAAGTCAAAATCAATGTCAAAATTTAGATTCAAATTTAAAATTAATGTTAAATTCGAAGTCAAAGTTACAGTCAATTTTAAAGTTAGAGTCAAAGTTAAAGTAAAAAGTTAAAATCAAAATTAATGTCAAATTTGAAGTCAAAGTGAAATTTTTAGTCAAATTTTAAATTAGAGTGAAATTTAAGATCAAAATTAGAGTCAAAGTTAAATTTAGAGTGAAAGTTAAAGCCAAAATCAATGTCAAAATTAATGTTAAATTTAATGTCAAATTGAAATTTAGAGTCAAATTTAAAATCAAAGTTAAAGTCAAAATCAATTTTAAAAATTTAGATTCTTTAAAATCAAATTTAAAGTCAAAGTTAAAGTTATAGTCAATGTTAAATTTGGACTCAAAATTAAAGTCAAAATAAATGTCAAATTTAGAGTGAAAATTAAAATCAAAGTTAAATTCGTAGTTAAAGTTACAGTCAAAGTTAAAGTTAAAATCAATGTCAAAATTGACTTTGACTTTGTAACTTTGACTCTAAGTTTCACTTTGACCTTAAATTTAACATTGATTATTACATGAAACTTTGACTGTAACTTTGACTACGACTTTAACTTTGATTTTAACATTAATTTTGACTCTAAATTTAACATTGACTGTAACTTTGACTTCGACTTTAACATTAATTTTGAAATTTGAATTTAAATTTTGGCATTGATTTTGACTTTAATTAAAATTTAAAATTTTGACTTGAATCACTCAATCAAGGTTACAGTCAAAGTTTATGTCAAAATCAATGTCAAAATCAATGTCAAAATTATAGTCAAACTTAAAGTCGAAGTGAAATTTAGAGTCAAAGTTAAAGTCAATATCAATGTCAAAATTTGGATTCAAGTTTAAAATTAATGTTAAAGTCGAGTTCAAAGTTACAGTCAATGTTAAATTTAGACTGAAAGTTAAAGTAGAAAGTTAAAATCAAAATTAATGTTAAATTTGTAGTCAAAGTGAAATGTTGAGTCAAATTTTAAATTAGAGTGAAATTCAAAATCAAAGTTAGAGTCAATGTTAAATTTAGGGCCAAAGTTAAAGTAAAAATCAATGTCAAAATTAATGTCAAATTTAGAGTCGAATTGTAAATTAGAGTCAAATTTTAAATCAAAGTTATAGTCGAAGTCAGATTAACAATCAAAGTTAAATTTAGAGTCAAAGTTTTAAAGTCAAAATCAGGGACAATGTCAAATTCGAAAATTGAAGGTCAAAATAAAAAATTGCAACCCTTTTGGAAAAACATAAATAGAAAGAAATTTTTTCTCATCCACATTTTGCTCCTTCCACAGAATCGACAATAAAAGATTGCGTGTTTTAGTTTTCATATATATAAAATGAAGAAAAAAAACAAGAGAGTGGAAATAAAAGCGACGAGTGTATAAAAAACAATAATGGATATAAAAGAGAGAAATAGTTACTACCTCTTGCTCCAAGAAACCGTGAGACGACGTTTTCTTCTGCGTTGTTGGAATCGAAGAGAATAATTGCGTTTTCCTTTAAAGTTCTCAAACGAGCCTGGAAGATGATCCAGGGCATTGGATGTTGCAAAGAGAAGAACCGTGTTTGGAGACTCACTCTTTGGGTATGGGGACTCGAGGGATTTGATCTCGAACCGGTAAAGACCTGCTCGCACTCTTGGAATTGAAAAATTCTGCGCTTCCGGGCCTTTATAGGTGAATAATGGCGAACCCTGTATCAATGTTTTCACTGGCCATCTCGTCTGGACCACTGAAGATAGACAATTGTTACTTTTTTTTTTGCTCTTTTTTGCTTTTAATTTTTTATATCCGTAAGTTTTTTTATATTATTTTATTATATAATTAAGGATGTAAATGATAAAATTTAAATTATAATCATCAAATTTTTGAGGAATATTTCTTTAAACTTCCACAGTATCTCTTTAATCTTATAGTTTTTCTTATCAAATTTTTAATATACCTTTTTTGTCTCAATTTGATATAAAAGTTGCTTCGCAACACTTTTGATACCTTTTTTGTCTCAATTTGACATAAACGTTGCTTTGAAACTCTTTTGATACGTTTTTTGTCTCAATTTGATATTCTTAGAAAATAAAAAAAAATTCGCTGTCGTGAAGAATCGAACCCCGGTCTGTGCTTTACGAATCCAGTAGTGTTACCACTGACCCATCTTACTTAGAGAAAAGTATATAATATTAATAACTAATAATAAGCCTATCGAACCCTATTTTGATTAATTTAGACCCAAATTTATATATCATACACAGGTAAAAGCTCTGTATTATTTAAAATAAATGTTTTTATTAAAATAATAATATAAAAAATAAAAAACATTTCTTTTTTTTTATGTTTAGATATATTATTAAAATACTATTCAAATAATTGATAATTAATATCTATAAAATAATAATTGACTAATATCGTTTAGTAAATGATGTTTTCGCCGTTTTCGGTTAATTTTTGCAATAATCGCGTTTCGCGAATGACCTTGGCGAATAAATTTCCGTTTCCTCTGGTGATTAATTGCCATCTTTCTTCTTTTAAAGACTATTAGAAGGTTCCGCGACGAGGCCGAATTTTATTTAGTCTTGACAATTTGAAATTCTAATTTTGTCACGATCCACGAAAATAAGTCGCCTGACTTGACTGAAGACGGTCTAGACGGTCCGAAATTATTTGAGAGCGCGCGGAGTCCGCACGTAAATCCTCGGATTCACGTGACTGAATGACAGTCTCTTTTAAAAGTAAGGGTGGTCGCCTTTTAAATATTTTACTTTCATCGTTTCCACCCTTTCGCTTCTTTTTGCTCGCTCTCTTTCTCTCTCTCTCTCTCTCTCACTCACTTAAGTATAGACTGCACTGCATTATACCAATTTTTCGAAAAAAGTTTATTTTTTACATTGCGAGCACTCATCTATACTAAAATCTACTATTTACTACTTTTTTTTACGATCAGCTACTATTTGGATACTTTTTTTTATTTGTAACACTAAAAACTACTTTTTTACATGTTTGAGAATTTATACTTAGACATTTTTGTTAACAGTTGAAATAACACAATTATTTTTAAATTTTAATAAAGTTATTGGAAAAAATTTTTAAAATTTTAATAAAATTCTTAACGATTTAATTATTTTCACAAAATTTGCGTAATTCAATGATTTTTAATATCTATTTTAATAAAAAATTACCCAAAAGAATTGAATAATTTGACAAAAAATGTTTATAAAATTCTTCGCAAAAATTCAATTATTTTCATAAATAAAAAAATTTGCACAGGAATTCGATTATTTAAAACAGAATTTTCCTAATATTTTTCGGAAAAAATCAATTATTTAAATAGATTTTTATAAAATTCTTCGCAATAATTCAATTATTTTTCGAAATAATAAAATTCTTCTCAGGAATTCAATTATTTTCAGGAATTTTAATAAAATTCTTTGCAAAATTCAATTATTTTGATAAATAACAATATTCATCACAAGAATACAATTATTTTCAAAAGTAACAAAATTCTTCGAAGAAATTCAATTATTTTCAAAAATTGAAATAAAATTCTTTGCAAAATTTCAATTATTTTCAAAAGTTTTTCGCAATTCAATGATTTTAAAATATTTTGTTCTCATAAAATTTATCAAATAATTTAATTATTGAAAAAAATTTTTAATACTGTTGTACGAAAAAAAATCAATTATTTTTATAAATAATAAAATCAATTATTATAAGAAATTTTAATAATTTTTTTTTCCAAAATTCAATTATTTTGATAAATTTCAAAATTCATCACAAAAATTCAATTATTTTGAAAATTATAATAAATTTCTTCTTGGAAATTCAATTATTTTTAAAAATTCTAATAAAATTGTTCCCAAGAATTCAATTACTTTTATAAATAATATAAAACGCTTTTTAGGAATTCAATTATTTTTGAAAAATTCAATAAAATATCACAGAAATATTTAATTATTGTCCAAAAATTTTAATACAATTCTTGGCAAAATTTCAATTATTTAATAAAATTCTTCGCAAGAATTCAATTATTTTCATAAATTCTTTATAATAATTAAATTGGTTAGTTTTAATTGTAATTATAATAAACTTTTTTGAAAGAATTCAATTATCTTCATAAATAGTAAAACTCATCGCAGGATTTCAATTATTTTTAACGTAATTTTAAATTAATTCTGCTAAAAACGCAATTATTCTTAAAAATTTGAATAAAATTCTTCGAAAAAATTCAATTATTTGAAAAAAATTTGATATAATTTGTTTCTTAGAGGGTAATAATTATTTTCAATTCATTTTTAATTATATTTCTTCAATGAAATTAATTATAAAAAATTTTAATGCAATTCTTCGTAAAAATTCAATTATTTTAAAAAATGTTGATAAAATTCTTTATAATAATTCAAATTTAAGAAATATTCAATTATTCAGAGAAATTATTCATTATTTAAATAATTGAATTCTCGTAGAACTTTCTGATAAGAATTGATTTAGAATTGAATAAAATAAAATAATTAAAGTTTCGAATAATTTTATTTATAAATTTCAAGAAAAATGAATTGAAAATTGATTGAATTTTGAAAGAATTACTTTTGTCATTTTTAGAAATAGTTAAATTTCAAAAATGCGTTAAAGTGTTTGAAATATTTCAATTCTTGTAGACAAAATAAATAGGTATTTAAATATTTATTTTTAAAAATTATTCTATTATTAAATGTAATTAAGAAATTATAAAAAAATTGAGTCTTCAAGATTAATTTTTCATAGTTACTTTTTTGACTACTTTTTTGTCCTTAAGCTACTTTTTTAAAATTAATTATCGAGTACGAAGCCTGACATTGTTTCGATCAGTTTTTCTAAGGATATCAAATTGAGTCAAAAAAAAAAAAAAAAAAAGGAATCAAAAGTGTTGCGAAGTAATGTTTTGATTCCTTTTTTTTTTGTCTCAATTTGATATACTTAGAAAAATTGTTAGGATATTAACAGTATTGGTTGTTGTATTAAAAGCAATTTTCGGATTAATTCTGAAAAAAAAGATGATTTAAGAAATTTTTTGAAAAGAGGAAAAAAAGTGTGTAAAATAATTTGAATAGCAAAATGGTTTCGAGAGAAAATTTTGAAGGTGAAATTGTAATTTATAACTATACACTTTTATCATGTTTTTGTTTAGCATATTAAATTGTATAGTGCCTTAGGATATTATAGTATAGGTTAGTGAAGATATACTCTTCTTTTTTTGGGACTCACATTTCGACCCTTCGGTTTGTTGATCTTCTTCAGGGGGGCCAACATAACTCACTGTCCAGGATATAGGCCCACTGCAAGGAGTGACAAGCAAGGTCAAAGGAGGCCCTTCCCTTGGACTCAGATAGAGGAATCTGTAATGATTTCATCTGCATCCAGTATGATATTGCCATTCATTTTATGTTAGAAGTGAATAGAAATACAATTTTAAAATATATTTTTCAAAATATTTTAAAATAATATTTTTAAAATATTATTATCGAGATAAAATAATGTTATCGAGATTCTTTCTTTTTTTTCCATCAGGAACGATAATTTTCTTTTTCTGTAAGATAACATGAGTAGTAGAAGGCTGAATTCAAAATTCTTATTAATTAGACAGTTTTTCTAAGGTTTGAGACAAAAAAGTGTGTTGGGAAGCTACTTTTTGATATATGTTTTTTTTGTCTCAATTTGATATAAACGTTCCTTTGGATCTCTTTTGATGCTTTTTTTGTCTCAATTTGATATCCTTAGAAAAACTGTGCTTCCTATTATGGTTTTTAGAAGTACATTAAATTTCCTATTTTAAAAAAAATTCCCAGTCGCGAAGAATCGAACCCCGGTTTGTACTTTATGAATCCAGTAGTGTTACCACTGACCCATCTTACTTAGAGAAAAATATAATATTAATAATTAAGTATCGAACCCTATTTTAATGAATTTAGGGCTGAACCTACAGAATTTTCGTAAAATTTTATGAAAACTATTGTTAGATATTTAAATATACGGTTTTTGGAAAGGATAATTAAAAATAATTTTTCTTGTCCCTTTTACGATGAGACCACGTGACTAAAGAGATGTTTGCTTCCTGAATTGACCCTTTTGACAAGAAGCGTGTGGCTTGTAGTTTGAATAGTGTGCTTTGATGCTTTTGATGAAGTCGCGAAGCTAAGCGTCGGGACGCCGCCGCACGTGCTCTTGCACAGTTAAAGCCAAGAAGACTTTTCAAGAAGCCTTTGTAAAATTAGCGTCGGGACACAATGTCGACGTCGCGGCGTCTAAAGGGGTCGTACCTCGCGACCCCCGATGCTAAATTCAGCGTGTTCGTCTTGTCTCGAAGTCCTATTTGAATCTAACACTCTTTAAGGTCTAGAATGTCATTTTAACAAGACGCATGTATATAATTATTACTATACTGATATACAATTGCAGTTAGCGTCACACGATTGTTTCTATATCTCGCCAATCGTATTTCGTTCACTGTCTTACGCTTTAATCGTAGGGGAGTGTGTCTAGGTATGAGACGGGTTTTGTTTTTGACCCATAAATTTCAAATGGGTAAACGAAATTGTAAATAAAATATACCGTTCGAAAAGTAACTTAAATACGCAACTTTTATTCAAAGAAAGTGTAGTGTTCAGATGGACTCAAAAAAAGTTATGATCAATTTTCCGAGCACATCGCTTTTGTCAACGATAAAAAAATGTGTCCAGTTGTGAGACACTTATTAAAAATTGCTAAAATTCAAAAAGTTTGACATAACGTTTTATATGTTATGTTTAGTAGAAATAATTAAATATATTATTATATACTAAATAATATTTATTCGCCAAAATAGGACTATCAAATAAACACAATTTAATATAGCTGCCCAGAACATTATTCATGTTTTTGTTTCACTATATAATTTAATACTTAAATGGAATGAAAAAATAAGAAGGTAAAATTTTTCAGAATTTTATAAAAAAACAAATTAAATAAATTTTTTCATATATAAATTATAAACGGGATTATGAGATTAACATTTAAAAACTGGAGCAATAAGAATAATTTGAAAATTTGCGCAATTATATTCCAGATGCTAAATCGGGTTTTAATTTTAAAAAAAAATGTATGGAGAATTTCCTAAATTATTATTTATAATGTGTATGTAGAGTGTGAGAAAATCGAAAAACCGGATTGCAATAAGTTGTTTAACCAGATTCGGGAATTATCTTATTCGATTGAGAAAAATTAACACAGTGTACGCGTTATGCATTTAATAATGAAATTAAACTTAGATTGTTTCCTGTATTAGTTTCATAAAAACTTGTGGAATTTCAAAATTTAATTTGGAATCTTTTTTTTTTCTCTCTACAAGTGTATTTTTAGTGACTTTAATAATTTAGTACTAATTTATTTCTTTTTTAAAATGATCAGGAAATTTTTTGAAAATCTTTTCTTTATATTCACTAACGATTAATTATAAAAAAAAATTTCGAAAATTCTGCACGTATTTTATTAATAATTAGTTATTTTTACTATAATATTGCTGAAGTAAAAATTCAATCGAAAATTTTAGTAACAATTAGTTATTTTTATCTCTAAATTTGAATTAGTAAAAATGTTTATTAATTTGAATTAGTGACTGACTGTTTGCTTTTAAATTAGTAAATTTTACTAATAATTAGTTACAAATAGTTATTTCTAAAAATTTTAGTAATAAATACACTGAAAAAAAATTTAATTGAATCAAATAAAAATTAATTGACTCAATTAAATGGTTTAATTGTCTATTATTGAATAAATATTTATTTGAACCAAGTAAATATTTATTAGAATGTTTTTTAATTCAAATAAATATTTATTTGCATCAATAAAACAATTTTTTTGAAGTAACTAAATATTTATTTGTATCAAATATTCAATTATTCATTATAATTAATTCTTTTAATTTAGACTAATATCTCTTCAATTGCGTCAAATAATTAATTATTTGGTCCAAATACAAAATTTATTTGCATCAAAACAAAGCAGTTTTGGATTCAAATAAATCTCAAATTGTATTAATTAATAAATGAAACTTTTTATCATTTTTTAATTGTAAAAATAATAAAAATTCAAATTTTTTACTATCGATTCTACCTTCTAAGGGACTCAAAGCTTGAAAGTATTAGGCACTAAATTTTTACAATTAAATAAAAATTTGAAACCTACGGGGATCGAAACCTAGACGCACGTACCTAACCGAAGAGCCTTAACGACATCGACAACCGAACCGACTTGGAAAATTATATTCGATATGTATATAAATTGCAAGTGTAAAAATTTCCAAATTTCTAATTATTTTTATAAAATTATTTTAAATTAATATGAATCTTACTAAAATTATTATGTTCAATATATTTAACACATATTTATTATTTATATAATAGATTTTTATATTGTTAAAAGTAAAATTAACTAAAATTAATTGAGACAAATAATTTGTATTTATATCTAATATCCATTTACTTGAGTAAAATAAATAAATGAAATAGTTTCAAATAACTCATTTATTATCGTTTTAATAAGTGATTTATTTGATCCAATTATTTTTTTATTTGTTCTTATTAAATATTTTCTTAGCATTAAATAATGCATTATTTGCATTAAATAATTTAGTTTACTTGAAGCCATAAAATGAAATAATTGCGCCAAATAATGTTTATTTATATCAAATATCCAATTAGTTGAGTGAAATAAATAAATTAAATGTTTCAAATAACTCATTATTTTGGTTTCAATAAGTTATTTATTTGATCCAAATATTTTTTATTTGTTTCCATTAAATATTATATTTGCATTTAATAATGCATTGTATTTGAATTAAATAATTTAGTTTACTTGAAGCGATAAAATAAATTAATTGTGTCAAATAATGTTTATTTATATCAAATATCCAATTAGTTGAGTGAAATAAATAAGTTAATTGTTTCAAATAACTCAAAAATTTTTTTTTTCAGTGCACTGATTCAAAATGTAAAACAATTTTACTAATTAAAATTCAGAGAGAGTAACTAATTCAGATTAGTTTACAATTATTCTATAATAGTTAATAGTTTGGCAATAAAAATTTACAACTTTTTTTATTTATTCAAATTTGTTTTTGTGAAAATGAGAAAAACATTCCCCCGACATCAAAGCAGAAGGGATTTTTAGTGATTTCATTTCTTTGCATAATAAAACATATATTTATATCCACATCTTGCACAAGGGGAAGTTTAAGTTGTAATATAATGCTTTGAAAAGATATATGGTGTTCACTTTTCATTTTCAGTGAAATTATTCTCTTATTCGAAATTGTTTCAATTATATATATGTATATATATAGAGAGAGAGAGAGAGAGGGAAAGAGAGGAACAACGTGGCTCTCTTTAGGCACGTGGTATTTCTTTGACGTGTTATTTGGCACGAGTCCGACGCTCTTTGAAAATTTCATGCCTTCCGTTACTAGAGAGCATCCACCTCAAAGATGTTATTTAGCTATTTACAAATTGATACTGTTTAAAATACAAATAAATCTTATTCTTATACGTCACTTATTCGTCTATTTTGTCGTTTCATTAACAATGGAAGAAAACAAATGTTTAGGAATCGAAATAAGAAAAAAATTTGTTTATTACTTATTTATATTCTCTAAGAATTAATTGGATTCTACTAAGAAATAGTGAAATTTTTACTAATTTTTTAGTAGAATTTCACTAATTGCTGAAGTCATCTATTTCACTAAATAAATTAATAAAACTCTCTTATCGACTTTTAATAAAACAGTTATTCTACTAATTGTTACAGACTTCGAAGTCAATAATTAATTTTAAAAAAGTAGCGAAAAATAGCTTAAAGACAGAAAAAAAAGTAGTAAAAAAGTAGCTACCGACAAATTAAATTTCACGACTCAATTTTTTTTTTAATTTCTTAATTAAATTCAAAAATAGAATAATTTTTTTTAAATATTTAAATACCCATATTTATTTTGTCTACAGGAATTAAAATATTCAAAATGATTTCATTGTAACGCATTTTTGAAATTTAATTATTTCTAAAAATTACAAAAGTAATTCTTTCAAAATTCAATCATTTTTCAATGCATTTTTCTTGATATTTATAAATAAAATTATTCAAAACTTTAATCATTTTATTTTATTCAATTCTAAAGCAGTTCTCATTAGAAAGTTCTACGAGAATCCAATTAATTAAATAATAAATAATTTATCTGAATAATTGAATAGTTCTTAAATTTGAATTCTTATAAAGAACTTTTTATCAACATTTTTTAAAAGAATTGAATTTTTACGAAGAATATTGCATTACAATTTTTGATAATAATTAAATTCATTTGAGAAATGTAATTAAAAATTAATTGAAAATAATTATTACCCTCTAAGAAACAAATTACATTAGATTTTTTTCAAAGAATTGAATTTTTTCGAAGAATTTTATTCAAATTTTTTAAAAATAATTGCGTTTTCAGCGGAATTAATTTAAAATTATTATATAAAAAATAATTGACATCTTGCGATGAGTTTTATTATTTATAAAAATAATTGAATGTTAGCGAAGAATTCTATAAACATTTTTTTAAAATTATTTAATTCTTTTGGTAAATTTTTAATTAAAATAGTAGATATTAAAAATCGCATTGATTTAAAAAAAAAATTGATGGAAATAATTGAATTGTTTTAAAGAGTTTTATTTAAATTTTTTGAATTTTTTCCGATAAATTTATTAAAATTTTTTAAAATAATTTTTTTATTTCAACTGTTAGCAAACTTAATATCCAAAATTTTTGTTAAATTCAACTTATTTTTGAGCTCAAAATAAAAACAAGTCAATTTTTAAGTCTTAAAATCAGTTTTCTAATTAGAAATTTAGTCAATAATTGGACTGATATAAGTTGTTTTAGTCAAAATTAGGTTTAAAGCAAGACTTATTTTTTATAGTATAAAAAAATGTCTGAAAATTTCAGTAATTTTTTCAATTTTTCAATTGGTGAAAAATGACTGATATTTCAATTGTTTTTAACCATCGTTTTGAGACAAATTTTTGAATTTTTTTGGTGCTTTTTATAAAAAGCTTAAAGTTTTAAAAAAAGCACGAAAAATTTGTCTCAAAAACGATAGTTTTTTAGACAATTTTTTGGTTTTAAAAAAGCTTTAAAAAAGCACAAAAAATTTATCTCAAAAACGATAGTTTTTGAGACAAAATAATTAATAGTCTTAATGTTGGAGTGCAACATTCGGAACCTTTCTTCTTAATATTCGAACACAATATTGCTCTAATTTTGCAAAAACTACAATTTTCAAAACACTGTTTAAACAAAATCACTCTATTCAGCATTTTACTACTCACGCGACTAATTTTATCCAGTAGAAAATAAGAAAGAAATCTCTCGATTTTTTGAAATGAAAATCACTGAAAATTACATATAAAAAATGGAAATTAAAAAAAAATTGCTCACTGAGACACGTTGTGGGGATTCAGTGTCGCTGGTAATTGATATTCCGGAAGTAGAACACCGGTACGATTGAATTCTTCCGCTTTGGTTGGCTTTTCGGATCTGTAGGGTCGGGGACTCCCCATGGTGAATCTCATTGGTAGATAACCAGCGCCAAATGCCCGGCAAATTTGTGCATTTAAAACTAAACACAGGACTAGAATAATAAACATTTTGACTGTTGGAAATTTTTTCATTGTGAATTTAAAGTTTCCTTTTTTTTATTATTATTAATTGAAGAAAACCGTTTTTTTAATTGAAGAAACTGTTTTCATTAATTGAAAAAACTTGGTTTTATTTAGAAAAACTTGATTTTCTAAACTTGATTTTCTTCCGGTTTTTTAAACTTGTCTTTTGAAAACTTTTTTTTAAAACTATGTTTTGATTAGAAAAAGTTTATTTTTAATTAGAAAAACATAATTTTTGTGAACTTGAGAAACAAAAATTTTTGTTTGTATTAATTTGCGAAACTACGCGAAAATTTGACGAAATATATACATAAATAGTTAGGTGATCCGCCGTCCAGTGACGAAGGAGTCCGACTGTGGTCGCTGGATAAGTCGCGACAGCGGTAAGCTGCTTAAACCCATGCCATGCCAAGAAACCCCTCGCATTGACTTACACACTGCCCCGAATTCAGGAGGGGGCTTTCCGTGTCCGCACGCTTCTGTTCCCCCCTCATCATTGCAAAAAATCATGCACTTAATGAGGCCATAAGGGTGGTCCGGTAATTCCTTATACTTCTTTATAAATATGAATTTCGTTTATGCGAGTTTGAAAAAACAAAAAAAAATTCCGACTATTTCGACTTTGGATTAGAAGTATATTACTCTCTGAATTAGTTAAAAATGTCAGTCACTAACTCGAATTAGTAAAAATTTTTAATAATTTTTGTGAAAAATTTTAATATTTCGTTTAGTAGTTTCTCAATCTTAATTAATAACCTCTAAATCTGAATTAGTACTCTATGAATTTAAATTAGTAGTTTTCTACTAAGGAAATTGAGAGAATTCGTTTACAAATTGAATTAGTAACAGTTTTGACTAATTTTTAAATAAAAAACTACTATTTTTAGTAAAAAAAAATATATATATATATTTTTTAGTACAAACTACTATTTCTAATAAAAAGTACTCTTTTTAGAAAAAAACAACTATTTGCTAAAAGAAAACTACTATTTTTAGTCAAAACTGCAATTTATAATAAAAACTACTATTTGCCAGTAGAAAACTACAATTTTTAGTAAAAATTACTATTTGCTCGTAGAAAACTACGTTTTTTAGTAAAAAAATATTATTTTTGAGTAAAATAAATACTATTTGCTAGTAGAAAACTACTCTTTTTAGTAAAAACTACTGTTTATAATAAAAACTACTATTTTTGTAGTAAAAAGTAAAAAAATTTGTAAAGAAACTACTATTTGCTCGTAGAAAACTACTATTTAAAAAAAATACTATTGCTACTAGAAAACTACTATTATAAGTAATAACTACAATTTTTTATTAAAAAATACTATTTGCTAGTAGGAAACTATTATTTTTAGTAAAAAAAACCATTAGTTTTAGTAAAAAAAATACTATTTGCTAGAAGAAAACTACTAATTTTTTGTAAAAAAAAAAATATTTCTAGTAAAAACTTCTATTTTTCGTGAAAATTACTACTTGCTCGTAGAAAACTGCTCTTTTAGGGAAAAAATATTATTTTTAAGTAAAATGAATACTATTTGCTAGTAGAGAACGACAATTTTTAGTAAACATTACTATTTGCTCGTAGAAAACTACTCTTTTTTAGTAAAAACTACTATTTTCAGTAAAAAATACTATTTGCTAAAAGAAAACTACTAATTTTTAGTAATAACTTCTATTTTTAGTAAAAAAAATACTATTTGCTAGTAGGAAACTATTATTTTTAGTAAAAAACCATTAGTTTTAGTAAATAAATACTGTTTTTAGTAAATAAAATACTATTTTTAGTAAAAAAAAATACTATTTGCTCGTAGAAAACTTCTCTTTTTAGTAAAAAATACTATTTGCTAGAAGAAAACTACTAATTTTTAGTAAAAGCTTCTATTTTTAGTAAAAATTACTATTTGCTCGTAGAAAACTACTATTTTTAAAAAAATACTATTGCTACTAGAAAACTACTATTATAATTATTAATAACTACATTTTTTATTAAAAAATACTATTTGCTAGTAGGAAACTATTATTTTTAGTAAAAAACCATTAGTTTTAGTAAAAAAAATACTATTTGCTAGAAGAAAACTACTAATTTTTTGTAAAAAAATACTATTTCTAGTAAAAACTTCTATTTTTAGTGAAAATTACTATTTGCTCGTAGAAAACTACTATTTTTAGTAAAAAAATACTATTTTTAATAAAAAAAACTATTTTAAGTAAAAACTACTCTTGTTGGTAAAAACTATCATTTTTTAGTAAAAAAAATACTATTTTCTTGTAGAAAACTACTAATTAATGTAGTAAGTCAGTTTACGAATTTGAAATAGTAACAACTACGACTTACTCATGAAGTAGTATTTTTCCACTAGCAAAAAGTATTTTTTTTTTTACTAAAAAATTATTTAAAAATTCCATGAAAACTACTAACAATAAATTAGTAATTTCTACTAATTTATAAGTGGCATTTTAGTAATAAATTGTTGTTTTTACAAATTTATTAGCAAAATTACTAATTGAAAATCATAAGGTCAGTTAGTAAAAATTAATAGTTTTTAGTAAATTTTAATAATAAATTAGTAGAAATAATTCTTTATTAGTAAAATATTTATTAATGAGAATTAGTGACTGAATTTTTGCTTTTGAAGTAGTAAATGTTACTAATAAATTAGTATAAATAACTATTAATTACTAAAATTTATTTTTTACTTTTGAATTAGTAAATATTTACTAATAAATTAGTAGAAATTATTATACTTTTGTAAAATTCTACTAATAAGTTGATAGGATAACTATTTATTAGTAAAATGTTTACTAATTTGAATTAGTGACAAACTTTTTTCTTTGAATTAGTAAATTTTACTAATAAATTAGTAGAAATAACTATTTATTAGTAAATTTTGCTAATAAATTAGTGAAAATTACTATACTTTTGTAAAATTGTACTAATAAGTTAGTAGCAGGAATAACTATTTATTAGTAAAATGTTTACTGACTTGAATTTTTGACTAACTTTTTGCTTTTGAATTAAGAAATTGTACTAATAACTTAGTAGAAATAATTATTTGTTAGTAAATACTACTAATAAGTTAGTGAAAATTACTATATTTTAGTAAAATGTTCTAATAAGTTAGTAAAAGTAACAGCTCGTTAAAGATTGAGTTTCAAAAATTAAAATATTCAAAAACTAAGGAGAATCGAACCCTAACCGTATTACATAATTTAAAGGCGCTCTAACGACGGCGACTATCGTGAATATAAAAATTTTGTTAGCTTCCCAAATAGTTTAACATTAGCAGCAATATCTTATCTTAATATTGACGAGTGAGTCATAATATAAAATTAAATATTTTGATAGTATTTATTATAATAAATACCAAATAAATATAAAAAAGTAATATTTAAATAATATAAATAAATAATATAATAAACTTGATAATTTAATATTCTCAATTGATTATAATAATAACTTAATAATATAAGGTACACAATTTTATATATTTTTTAAAAATATATTAATATTTCTATATTAATATATTTTTTAATATATATTATTATAATAATTATTATAATAAATAATATTTAATAATTAATATTTTAGTACTGTTTTACAAAGTGCAATTAAATACAAGAAGTTATATAAGGGAAAGGTAATGTTTTTTTTTATTAATATTCTCCGCATGTAAATTTACATGACCCATCGTGTGTGTTACTGAAATTTTGTGGGATAATAACAGAAAGTCACGCACAGGCGTTCAATTTTAAGAGCTCGTTCTGCATATTATCTATCGCTGGTCTCTAATTCGAAGTTTTGCAGTTAATATTTAGACTCACATCAATAAGCTAAACTTCCCTATGAATATAATATAAACAGTACTAGGAAGGGAAAAATTAGACAATTATGTTGTTTGCCAGTTTTGAATTTTAAAAAAAAATATACCAAATTTGGAGTAGTCTCTTGGCTGTATATTAGCAATATAATTAAATTTTATTCTTAAATCTAGAATCTATAAATTGAAATATTATTTCTCTTGCTACCTTTTGTAATTATTTTTATGTAGAAAATTGAAAATATGAAAAATTATTTGCGTAGAAATAATTACAAAATTACTATTTTATTATTAATTATAGGAATAAAATGCATTTATTTTCTTCTCCTAGTTTTAAAATTATTTAACATTTTTTGTGGAGTATATTTTGAAAGTGCTTGGTAGTAACTATATTTAGATAGTAATTAGAAAAGTAAAGAATTGTCTTCACTTTATCAATGACTTGGTCTGACTTAAAAAGTAGTTTTCTACTTGCTAAGTAGTAAAATACGTTTTACAGTCAGACTATATTCTCTTTATGCTAGGTCATTTAAATAAATAATTAGAAACAAAGGGGTTTTTTTTGTTATTCAATTCGAAAATTATAAAAGTTTTTAGTTTCAATACTTAATTAAATTATGTAATTGTAATTTTCTGTAATTATAAATAAATTCTGTAATTGAGATTTTATCGATTAGGCACATACTATTTTAATTGTATGATTATTACTATAAACATAGAAGTCATGTATTAAAAATATGAAATGTAAGACAAATTGTATTTTTTTAAAGCAAATATGCGTATAATTACTTCGTACATATATATATTTATAGTATCACAGTCCAAGCAAAATGCAATGACAGCTGGTCTGGCGGGTGGCAGGGCAATAATTCACGACGAAAATCTTACTTTACATGTTATACATGCATGCTTTTGTTGAAATTCATCAAGCCATGAAATTGTCATAGTTCATTTTAGATTGACTCTCTTTTTTCAAAAAATGATTATTTTTGATAAAATTCAAAATTAGGGAATTTAATTATATGGCGAAAAAATTAAAGATACTTTTTTGACATTTCTTCGAAACATTGAAACAAAACATTACAATTTTTAGTAAAAGAAAACAACTTATTTTGATTTCTGTTGATTTTTATAATGTTAATGTTAATTAATATAATTATAATGTTAATTAAAAAATCTATGTAAATTTAAAAATGAAAATTTATAAAAATTATGAAAATTAGCTTCAAATTTTTAAAAATTCAATACTTTATCAGTATTTTCAATGACATATTTCCGAAAATTCAAATACATACAAAAAATAATAACATTTTAGAATTATTTCCAACGTTTTGGAGAAAAAAATCAAATTAAAAAATTTTAATTAAAATTCATAAAAAAATTAATTAAAAAAATCAATTATTTAAATTATACGAAAATTATTTCAAAAAATTCAATTATTCTTGAACCATTATACATATTTTTAAAATCTAATTCTTAGAATTATTTTATCGTAATTTTTAAAGATTCAATTAGAACAAAGTGGACAAAAATTTATAAAAATTTACTTTTTCAGACTTATTACAATTTTTCAGAAATCATGGTCCTGTTATAATTAAAATTCGTCAAAAATTTGATAATTTTTATTTGCACTTTTCAAAAATTCAATTATTTTTAAAACATT